TAAATATCTAAACTCACAATACCATAGGAAGATCTAAGTTAAAATAAGTCTTTAAGTAACTTAACTGGAACTGTTCAGATAAAAAGACATCTCCATTTTATTTTTTTCACAATTATATCAAATTTCAAAACATTTTCTCCCCGAAAAACTTTCAGAGGGTGTCATCCCAGAGGGGGAAAAAAAAATAAATACCTGAAATGATAGGGAATAGAATAAATAAAATCCATTTGTTCAGAATTCATGTGTAACACAATCTTCCATTTCTGTCTTTATCAGTGTATCATTTTTTGTCAAAATAAACTTTCTAAACACCACTTTTTGAAAGCGTTAAAACCAACTATGAAGTTATCTTTGGACTGTTGGGCCCCACACTGACTTTCTACTTTTGAGTAAATTTGGAGTTCAGACAGAAGATAATCAAAACCATTTGTGTTGCAGAAGTAGGACTGCTGGATATAACCAGTAAGAAATTTTCTTCAGATACTATATATATAAAAAAATGTGATTTAGAAAGCAAAGACATCCCAGAAATTCCTTTAACTTATCAGGTATATTTTGAGCTTCCTCATCTACCAATTAACATTTAAATCATTGTCTAAATATCTGCAACTTGGCAAATATGCTCTAATGCTGAACTCATTTAATTGAAATGAAATTTAATTGAAATTTAAAAGAAAGTGCACTTCTTTTCTGTTTCCAAATTGTCAGTTGCCATTTTTTAAAATAAAAATTTAAAATAAAAAATAACTTTGAAATAAATTCACAAAACTATAAAAAGCAGCTTCTTTGCTGACAGTCATTTCACCTGATCAAAATGCTGACTGCTCCTTGCACATAATTATTTTTTACTTGAATCAGAATGCAAAATATCTACTATTATACTTTGTGAAAAGGAAATACTTGTTTGTTTCCACTTCAAGAAATGCTTGCATTACTTGGAATACAAGGTTGAAAAATTTTTCAACTGAAAGATTGCTTTTTTTTTTAAAAAAAAAATAATTCTTTCGGCCTATTGAAATATTTTAAAGATAAGTTTGGCATTAATCTCATAGCCCCATGGCTCTTAAACAAAGAATGATTTCTGCTTTCCCAGCCTTAAATTCCCACTGCTCTCATGGTGTAATATCTGCTTTAGTATTATTTTATCAAGTTTTGTTTCTGAATAAGACAGTAAATCAATAGAGCTGACAAAACTAAGCTGCTGATAACTTCTCTATTAGTGAGCGCTCTGCTGCTGAGCATCACCACTGCATCCATCACAGAATTCACCACAAATCACAAAGAACAGCATTACATCAATCCACAGTGAGTATTTAGTCCCACCTTATATTTTTTAAATTTTGGAACACACCAATACAGTTAATTTATTGAATAATTAGTGATCCATGGATGTGTTGTGGTCACTGTGCAAAGTTAGGAATATGGCATGTTGGGAAGATTTACCAGGGCAGATCTGTGCCACTCTCACTGCAGATCTCCAGATTATAAAACCAGTCAAGATAGTGCCACTATGTCACTGCTTATTTTGTCTCTAACACTCTCTATTGTCAATAAATACAGTTGTGGAATGATACAAAGGGTAACTTACATGAGTAGTGTCCTGTTTAATGTTAGCCTTAGGAATGAATTACTATGCTTTGTATTTGATAAAAAGCACACCCATCTCAGAGAGGTGACATTTATTTATTCGAATATATTTCAGCAGCAGAACAGTCTCAACTTCACTAAGGATTAGTAGCTAAAGATATAATCAAAGTGACATATACAACTGGGGTAGGAAGGGAAAGAGGAGAAAACACATTTGATTGTACTCATGGCTGACATTGAGCTAAAAGAAAACTCATAGTGCATCTTTTCATAATTATTGTCAGCACTTCATAGGACTTATTTCAAAGCTGTTAAAAAACTACGGCAAATTTAAAAAGCCTCACTGTTCACCACTCCTGGAATACAGTGAACATGAAACTAAAAAATATACACTGGGACTGGATTATTTTAAAAGAAATGTGGTCTAGATCTTTGTTTTCAATCAATTAGCAGAAGCACAATTTGAGGATCCTATCTAGTTTTGCATTGTCTTTTTAAAAGCTATTATTTGCTGATATTAGGTTTTACTTCAAATTCTTAATTCCTCTCCCATCTCAAAGAGGGGAAGGATTTCCCTAAAGCTTTTATCTTAGCACTGTTAGATCTTACATAATTGCAAGAAGGTTTAACTATTACTATTTCAAATATGCACCAAGGCAATTTATTATCTAGAAAGAAACATTCTCCAAAACAGTTTGGCACTTTTCCTATCTAGTCAATGTTTGAGTAAATATTCATCAGCTACAATGCCTCTGGTGAGCCACTGGGCTGTCATCTCTTATTTGATCAGAACAGACTAATTCAATTTCATATTTCCATAGATTATCACTAAAAGAACACATTCCAAAAATTATGACTGGAACCAAAGCCAATGTATTTTCTATTACAGTAAGAATTCATGTTTGTTTCATCTGTGAGGAAATACCTGAAGGTCATCAACCTGAGCAAACTGTACTCCCCCTCCCCCTATTCCAAGCTAAATCCACTTCCTTAAATCTCCAAGAATATTTGAAAAAAAAAAAAAAGAAAAAAGCCCAAAATTATCATTCCTCTGTTCTTAAAGGCTTCCAGGGATTGATTCCTTACCTATGCCTGCTTTGATGCCTAAAAATCATCCTCACAATTACCAAAGGTTGTTATGTATTTCTCCAGCTCCTTATGGATAGAGACAGTTCCCTCCATGTGGCAGTAGTATCTTACAGCAGTTACCTACATGTAGAGATTGCTTTCTGTCAAAAACGACTTAATTTATCTGTTTGCTTGCCGCCATTATGAGGCTCTGTGAGTACTGTATCTTTTGCAAAATATGCCAGAACTGTTTAGTCTTCTGATCTTCTTGTGCTGCAGAGGGTTTTCTTTTATTGATGGCCTTTTATAGCCCCAATAATACTTGCAAGTGTAAAGTTTATTTTGATTAGACGTTGTCAGAGATTCATTATCGCTCAGTTTCTGGACAAACAATGGCATTTAATGTCACATCAATTGTGCTAAATCAATGATGAGATAATACCAATGTACTGTTTCTGAAAACCATTTTATCTTCAGAAGGAAAAGACAAGGCAAAAAGTCCAAGGCAAACCACAAGGTTGAAGCATAAAGGACCAAAGACATAACTGTATTTCAGGGACAATAACTTCATTAAAAGAAAAACCTTATCTAAATTAATTTGTAATGAAATAAAATGAGATAGTAACTCAAGAAGTAAATGAATCTTTTAAATATTTTTAGAAATTTTCCTCTTCAAAAGGAGTTTCATATAAAGTATATGTCTACATCTCCCATCCACCTGATCTTCAAATACTTAAAAAAATCTCACAATTACTGCCACCGTCTTTCAGCCCCATACTCATGCTGGATTAGCAGCTGAGCAATCTGCTCTTATGTCAGTGCACCAAGACATCTTGACTACTTTGCTACAAAAAACAATCTAATGGCACAGTGAGAGCCCAAGATTCCAGCTCATGTGTATTAACTTTACCATCTTCTAATTCCTGACCTCGGAATTACTTTGAAGAACAGCAGTGGGAAGACACAAAATTCTAATATTTTTGTAGTCAAATACTTTAAACATTTGAACAAAATTCAGCTGATTCATCAAGTCAAAGTTACTGATTGTAGGGTATTAGTTATTTGGTTTTAAACTCAGAAATAAGTTTACTCCACTCTAGGCAATTAAGCACACACTGAAGGAAAACTCTTCACAGAAGAATTTATCTTCAGGCTATTGCGACCTCTGTCTGCAAGAAAAAAGCTGGACTATTTGACTTGTTTGACCATTGTATTCAATTACAGACCAGTATTCTTCCTGTCTCCTTCAGTGAGCTATCATTCAGCAGAAAAAAAGAAAAGATCAAACCAGTGACAGAATTGGATGCAGAAACCAAGATTACATGAATCAGATAAATACTCTTCCTACAACACCCCAGTATAAACAGATTTCCCCCACCACTGTTTTCACACAGGCGCAGTTTATGGATTATCATAAAGACAAGAGAATTCAATAAAAAATAAATAGGACTTGGTCCCCAAAAGTGCAGGAAAAAAACCAGTTCAAAATAAACTGATGAAGGTGGATTTTAGATGGGGCTTACTCATATTTACAGTAAGCAAATTTGGCTGTGCCATAAAAGAACAGAAACAATATTTAACAGCAGACTACTTGAGAATAATCAGTATTTCCAAAAGGCCTACACACAAAAGAAACAGGAAGTCTGTGACTTCAGTATTTCATAGCTCACTGTACACACTAATGCCATAATTGCTGTGTTTCTCAGAAGTTATCAACAACAGTTCTGCACTACAGTCAATGCTGTAAGACTGGGCAAAAATTAATGACACCTGAATTCCCAAACACTGATGTGAGGTAGTGGTTTACACAGTTCAACAGCAACAGTGAGAAAGCAAATACTTGGTCTGTTTACATGGTCAATAATGATATAAAGCGATCATATTTTCCCTTAATTATCACACCTAATAAAAAAATCCATGTTGAGGCACTGGTATCATCAGTAGAATTTACAAGTTTTTTATTCTACGAAGAAATGTTCTTTAAACAATTTTTATTAAAAATCGATGAAGTACTGATCTTCCTCAGAATCAAAAATATTTAGAAAAAGATGCCTGACATTGTGGTATCTGGATTAATATGCAACACCTCTATGATGGCCAAACTGCAATCACTCCTCTGAGACTAAAGAAAGTCTCAATCTCATCCCCTTTCTGTTTCAGAATAAAAAAATCCTGAGGTGAGGAAACCCCACAGATTTAAGAACCAATGGAAGGAATTGTCTCAACTACCAGAAACTTGGCAGTCGCATCTTCAAGTCCTTCTTACATTAACTTGAATTATCCTTGACACTGAGAAATTTTTTAAATTACAGTGATGCATCAGTAGTTTTAAGAGTAGTTCTTACCTTCTGAATAGCCCTGGCCCATCTTGCTTTTGCAAAATTACTTCGATTACCTTCATCTGTATTTCTCCTGGAGAAAAAAGAAGGGAAAAAACCAAAGTACTCAGTACAGAAAAGTATCAAAATAAATAACTAAAATAAATCTATGGCCAAATAGATAAAATTCAGATCCATCACTACCCTCACAATACCACCTTTGGATTACAGGGGGTTCCTTTAAAGCTGAGAGTTCACTGGCTTGAAAAGAAAGACATGATCCTTGTTCCTTGTATTATCATGGTATAAAAGGACATTGGCAAAGGAATACATTTCCCAATTATAGCAGCTCATAAATCACGATTACAAGGTCTTTAACATCAAATAGCAGGAGGAGAGGCAGAAAACAACAACAAAATCCAAACCACCAAAGACAGTGAAGAAAGAGGAAACCTTTGAACTTCCTTAGCGAAGGCATATCCTCATGAGACAGACACTGTCACCAAGGCATTGTCAAATGCACTAAAGGAGTTGCTGAGAAGCCACATAACCTAAAAACAATACTCCCTCCACCCTAAAAAGTACCACCAAACGAAAACTAGTATTTATTCCAACCAATCCTTGAAATACAATCCATTGCATATTTGGTTGCCCTCACACAGAAGTTACACACTTGCACAGGTAAATTATAATTAGGGCTCATTTTTCAGCTATTTCACCACACCAGTGAAGAATTTTGGCTTAAACTGAAAAATACCAATTCCATTAATGGCTATTAAGCACAGGTTAAAATAATTAGCATAGATTCCACCACTTCTGCAAGATTCTAAGTAGTTCAAAAGCCACTGCCTTGTACAATACCAGTTAAGTTGCAAAATCAAAATTATATGGTAAAATTCTACACATATAATTTACAGAGGACAGTAGAAGCCTGTTTACTAAGTGAAGTTTTTGCAGAATATTTATATTGTACCTCAGTGCCATGCCTTGGCCTACACATTACTATTTAATTATCTTGGACTTTTGGAACAGTGCTGTTTTATTTGAGGAGAAAAATGTTCCCTCTGATACGCACAGCTGAGTGCACATGATGCAAACCAAGTATGAAGAGGCTTGTCTTCCCCTGCCCTCATCTCTCAGGCTGCATGTTTGCTGGTTTGCTTCACAACTCTTCTTTTGTTTTCAGGTAAATCAATCAACTGATACTAGTAATTGGTCCACCCCGTCCTGCAGTTGTTAACTAGACTGGAAATACTTGGTAATAATTAACCTTAGGGATTACCAGAGTCATCAACCTCAAGGTCAGATGGAAATTGGGTTGTCAGTGTTGATTCGGAGGGAACAGAGAGAAAGATTTCTCTGCCTTAACTAAAATTACATAGGGAAAAGAGTATTCTTAAGTTTTGAGACATAATGTACAGAAGGGGACAAAAACTGGTTTAATTGGTTTGCAGTACTTTTAGCGAGTCACCAATCTGTGATCAGATCAGGCAGTTGAATACTTCTTGTGCCAATTAGAAACTCAAACAGACACAGCAAGGAGCAGTTTCTACCTGTCCACTTCCTGATGACACAGTGATGGGTCCAGTTTGGACAAATGGTTGTTAATTTTCTATTCAGATCTAGTGAAACTAATTAGTTACCTGGCAGAAAACATTTTACCAATACTGAACAAAGCTTCTGATGGCATGTGCTTTACATGAATTCTGGGTAACAAAGCCCACCAGATACTGCTGGGAATGACCAGTCCTGCTAGCTGAACTGCACAGAAGGAACATATGTGCCAGGAAAATACATTACTATAATTTTTTTAAGCGACATAAACAGAAGCAGATTAGGGAACTTTACACAAGCATTAAGCCAGAAAACAAGGGAATCATATCTGATAATTAAAAGAGCGTAATATTGTGATTGAACAACAAAAAGTTTAAAAACAAATGACAAATGCTTTAAGAGTGCCTGAAAAGTCATACTGATTCACCACCCCTACAACATAATGCCCAGCTGTGGTCTCTGATGCTGTGCAGGCCACAAGAACAACAAGACAAGGAGAACTACAAGAAACACCTCAGGAGAAGTATAGCAATATTCAGATCTGGTGAGCTCAGAAAGCAGCCTGGGTCAAAGTTTTGACACTCCATGCATCAAACTCAGTGGGCTTTCACATCTCTTAGCCAGAAGGATCAAAATAACCAGTCTTGTTGCAGTGATTTACTAGCTAATAACAGGTATGTGCCAAGGAATGCAAAGGCTAGATAAACACAAGGGCTTTTCAGTCTCGTTTATCAAAAGGTAAGGCTTTTTAACAGAAAACAAAAGTTACGTTGACACTTTTATTTAATAGATGTTTTCTCTCTTCATTTTCCTGGCCAAATACATTAAAATTGCTCTAGCATTGCAGTGATGATTTGCATTTTCATGGCACCTCTTGTAAAATTAATCTCACTACAGACTTCATTGTAAGGCAGTTAATTATAGAGCAGTTGCAGTGTGGCCACATACTGACAAAAAAATGACATCTTCTGAATGCTTATTTGTTTGTAATAGGCAATCCTGAATATCTGCATTAGTTTCTAAGTATTCATCACCAATGTCAGTTTCATCAGCTTTGAATATAACTGGAAAACTGTGGAAGAAAAATTGAAATAATTATGCTCTATGATGACATTTTTTATTTGGCAATTTCCACTCCCTACTGGCAATAGTCGGGCTGAAACTAACATCATGTGCTTAAATCAATCTCCAATGGACACATCAAGCAAATTTATACTAGGATAGTACACTACCACAAAAAAGTTTAGTTTTCTTTTTCTCCTTTAAACGTACTTTTCAGAAAATTCCAGTAATGCTCAATCTTGTACAAATATGGGATAAGGCTGATGACAATTTCGAGTTCTATTCTGCATTCTTTTATAGCTCAGGAGTGGGATAGAAAAGAATAAAGAAAGATGAATAACAGCTTCTCTGTATTTTAGAATACAAAGAATAGTACTTTAAAGTGTATCACTTTCAGTGCTGTAACTTTTGAAACCTGTACAATTTAACATGCATTGGAAGTAAGTTTGTAACACATCCCAAACTTGTTTTGTGAGGATTTACGTGCTTGTTAATCATTTAGACTGCAGCAGCACAAGTCATTTGTGAATATCTCTGTTGGTGCAGTTGCTACCATAGTCTTGCACACCAGGCCAAAGCCACATTACCAACATTACACACACCTGGGCTGCAAAAGCCTGTCCTTGTTCCAGCACTGGGCAGCAGCTGAAGCTGATCGCACTGAAATTGTTTTCAGCTGAAAACAAGGTGCTTTACAGCCCTATCTTTCAAGTCAATGCATGCACTTGGTAGAAGGACACACTATCTTTAATGGAAAATATGTCTGGGATATGGAACTATAGAAATAGCATCTCATCAAGGATTATTGGACTATAAAAATAATTAAATTTTAAATTTTTCATAGGCCTCAATTATATAGTACAGATAAAAGAATAATTATAACATTAAAAAGCCATGCAGCTTAGGAAAACACTAAGAATTAAAAGGTAGCAGTTTAGTAAAACACTAAGAACTGTAGGCAGTACTTTGCCATCTTAGCTATAATCACATTTAAAAGAAATTAACGATGTGGTAAAATTGCAAAGGAAAATTAAGTGATCTAGGCATTCCACAGTTAACTATACCACATTAGGACTTACTTTTTCTAAACCTTTCATAGATTAATACAATTTAGCATTACCCAACTGCCTTATATAACTATTTTTTTGTGTTAGTGGCAAAGAAGGAAGAGTTTCCTCCAAGATACTTTTCTGGTAGCAGTGAATCTATGCACCTACACAGGTTCCATTTTACAGATGTTCAAGTTGGTCTTCAAAATTTAGTCTTTAAGCTAACAGAGCAGAGAACAAAACTTACTATAAGTCAGCAACCAGTTACTCATCTCTACAGTAAAACTTTAGTTTTAAATCTGAGTACACATTTTTTTTGTTTCTATTTGCTTTCTTATTGTCTAAAATAGTAAGTTTCAGTAGCTGTATTATCATCTTCAATCATACATTTATATTAGTGCTAGCTTTCACTTCAAATAGTTTACAGTTCTGAGTTTTTGGTGGTTTTTAAAACTAAAATTACAAGCTACTAGTTTCTTTGAGACAAGGCACTAAATTTTATCAGTCTGTATTTTGAGAACATTACTACAGTAAGTAATGAAATAACATTTTCTGATTTCTTAGAGATAACCTTGTTTAAGTGTCTAAAAACACATATTACAGCAATAACATCTGCTTTCTAGCCATTCAGATTCAAAAATTTAACAATGCATAAACAGAAACTAAAACATGCTTAGATATCTGCTTTAGTTCAGTTTTTCCTCTAGCACTCTTTTACAGGTTACTTACCTAATCCTTAAGAACTTGAGTCTTTTATAAGAGCTACATCTTTTGACTCAGAGTCAAAAGTGAATAAAGTCTGAAGTGATGCATTTATCCTCATAACAGAACTCCTATTTTTTCCATTTCAAATTTTTCATCCAGTTCTTCACAAGACTTTCACAAGCATAATTCACATTGATGTTGGTCTTCACGTCTTCCTGAAGAAAGAGATGTATCTCTGCTTGCTTTTAGAAATACCTCTGAGCTAAGTGTGCACAGCTGCTAAAGATAAGCCACCAATTACTGCACCTGACCACCACTCACCTTCCTGGGCACAGTTAACACTGTGGGGCAAGTACCTCCCTCTCCCTTGTGTCTTTTGACTCCTCAGATGGGTCTGAAGTCTGATCATAGTCTGACTTATTGATGGGATGTTGCTGTCTGCTAAAACTGATTCAGAAACTCCCAGCTTGCTTTAACATTTGCTTTCCAGTAACGTTATTTTAGTGTTTTGACTTACAATATGACCCCCAAAATACTTTTTTTTTCATCAAAGATAAAATAAGATATAAGATAGAGATAGAGATAGACATATAAGATAGAGAAATAACAAACTCTTCCATGTAGCTGAGAATGAGTACTGGAAAAAGGAACCAATAACTACTTAAACTTCTGTATTTTGGGCCACTTCAAATGTTTAGACTTCAAAATATGTAGAGGCATTTTTGATTCAACACTGTGGGATTTTCTTGTTTTTTGATAAACTCTTCTCAAAGATTAATGTGTCCCTTTCTTGAAAGGTTTGGTTTTCAAGATTGGGTGGCATCCTGTTTTCATTATGCTGGAGGAATTTGTTCATTTTTATTAAATCTTATTCTAAAGAACTGCTACAACTGCAGGCCTAATGCTAAAAGGCATGCAGAGATGTACAGTAATCCATACCTAAACTTTTAAAATTGCAATTTTTACCATTCAGAGCTATGACCTGAATTGTAAACTGTTATTCAGATCTATCAAAACTACAGCTTGTGATACAGATCTTGTACACTTAATACAGTGCCAGTAGGCAATAGCTCTTATTTCCCTCTATATTGCCATAGAACAGCAGCATTGAAGAAAGATGCTGTTTTTTTAAGGCCTGCCAAGACAGTAAATCAACATTTTACAAAGTAACTTCCAGGTTTTTCTGATGGATATAAAGATATTACTATCCAGTGCCACTACCTGAGAAACTCCCCACAAGATACATTATCTCCTCAGGGTTGCAATAGCCACATGAATGATTTCCAAACTGCAAGATGTTTATCCGAACAAAAGGAACATGCAATTAGGACAGAAGCTGATTGACAAGACCAAAGGCTATGGCAGGAGACAGGTGACACAAGGAAACACATGTTGATGTGAATAGGACATTATCAAGACATTGTTCTGCTGTCCAGTGAAGTTATAGCTTTTAATCAATCTTGAATCTGTCAAAGTGTCATCTTGGATTGTTCCCAGAAAGCAAACAATGTCTATCTGACACTCAAAGAAACTTTATGAATTTCTCCAGATTTTGCCTGGATTTGCACTATGCAGCTATTTGTCCGTCTCCAATTTCTGACTTATTCCAATGTTGGATCATAAAATTTTTTTTCTTCTTCTAATATACCCAACTCAAAAAATAAAAATGTGGGTATTTATTTCCCCAAATATATATTGGAAAATCATGTTTTTTCAATCAACTGAACTCAATATTCTCCTACGGAATCTCTCTATTCATAGCCAATGACTGATCTTTCAACTTTATTAATAAGCCATCAAAATCAGCATTAGAAAAGTATTTGATTAAGTATGCATGTAATAAACAAAATAAATTGCTATGCAAGTATAGTAAACCAATTCCAGTGAAGTTTACCCTGCTTCTGAATAGAATGTATTCAGTATCTTTCAGGGTAGCAGCATATAGATGAAACATGACACAGCAGTAGGAACCCAGTCAAATATTTTATAAACATTTTCTGCTTTTCCCATGGCAACTCTCTTTTCTCCTGTTGTGTAGCTCCTTATGTAGAGTTCTTATGCCCCCATCTGAAATGGCTTCTGTGTTTAGAGATCAAGTTACATAGAGAAAGGGAATTTCTTTGCAAAAGAACTGATACTTAACAACTATTTTAGCTTTTCTGTAAATGAACAAATTTTCTAGTAGTTTCAAGGGAATACTTGGACAGAGATTGAATCTTTTCAACCTTTTACACACAGCTATAAGTATTAATTAGATAAACTAGTTCCCAGAAGCCAACAAGGTTACCTTAAAAATTTACTATTATGTAAGGTCTAAGTAAAATATGTTAACTTTTGTAGCAAGTAAACCTTTTGGGACCCCAAAATAAGATAGCTGCATAATAATAACAGACTTAATACAGTTACGTGATATCAGAAACCTTTAAGACGGCAAAGAACTTAATTAATCTAGGTAAAAGAAAACTATAAAAGCCTTTCCCGTTCCTTTCAAGCCTAAAGAATTTATCATGAATGATGTTACATTATACAACTCTCAGGGAGAGTCATAATGATTTCTCATTTATTATGAAAAGTTGTCACCATAATAAACAGTATAAAACTATGAATATTAATAAGGGAGCCAACTAAAGCTCAGTATCAGTTCATATCAGGATGCAAAACAATCATCGGAACACTTCCAATAACCACAAACAAAACAGGCACTTGTGAAAAGGCTGAATGTAAAGAAATTTTTAACATCTAATTACTTGGAGAAGTGAAACAATAAGAACTGGTGGGGATAAATACTGGAAGAAACCAAGACTCTGCTATGTGACAAATATATTTGTGTTTTATTTTAATGTGTAATCTAGTTTATAATTGGGTTTGTAGGTTATTTCATATATGCAGTAGGACATAAAACTTGGCTGTATCTTTTGTGCTAGCACTAGACACCACCCCTCCCTTACTGGAAGTTTTTCCAAGATTGTCTCATTCCTAGATTGGAACACTGGCTCAAGCACAGCTCTGCCTATGTGCCTGCTGAGCAGGATCCCCAGCCTTGGACTCATTGCCAGCCTGAGTTTGACTCTGCTGTGCCCTGCCCTGGCTGCACCACTGGCCCTGACCCTGAGCTCTAGGATTGCCAGTTTGGCCTCAGACCTGTTCCATCAGCCCAGGCTTTTGCACTGTTTGACCCTTGCTGCTATTCCCAGGCTTGCCTGGGGTGCTGGGCTGGGGCACTGGCTGCCCTGGCCCTGGCCTGCCTGCTGTGTTATCCTGCCTCACTGCCCCTCCCCTGGGGAGCAGCAGCTCATCCTCACTTACCTAATGCCTTCATCCTGCACATTTCTACAAACCCAGCAAGCTATGAAGATTCTGGCTTTCAGATGTGCCACAAAGATTGGATTCATAGCTGCATACTTCATAGTTACTAAAAATGTTTGAATAGATTCTACTGAGAACTTCAGGATGCAAATTAAAGCATTTAACTTCAAAACCAGTCAAACAAAAATAACTTCCCAAAATCTATTTGGGATAACTTTAGGAAAGAAAATGTACATCAACATGTCACATCAGCTCACCATCACTTGTTCTAAACTGCAAATTGCCTTGCAAATAAATCTGCTTGGTTCCATACTACAGTTCTTAACAATTTTATATTCATTGGGGTTTTTTCCTCACATGATCTTCAATTCTCTAAATGATTTCCCATAATCTCAGTGTCTTTTTTCTCATTCTCTTTCCTGTACAATATTTTCTTTCTATATTTTTAACTGCTAATTTATCTTCTTTTCCATTTTTTTACTCAAAAATATTTAAACATACAAATTAAATGGATAAAAATTGTAAAGTTACCATGGTTATAAAGTAGAGACACAAAAAAGGCCATAAAAATTGTTTAAACTTCAAATTCACTGTATGTATGAGACTTAGGAATCTCTGTCTCTAATTTAAAATTTTGTTTGTGCCTCCTCTGCTGTACAGAGCTACTGTAACTTTAAAATTATTTAGAAACTTTTTTTAAAGTAATCTTTTAAAGTACTAATTTTAATGCAATCAAGAGCAATAGTTTCAGGCCACAGAAGATCTGAAGGAAACACATTTGAGAAAAGCAAGAGGGTGGAACTGAAATAGGAAAGAGCCGCAGAGCAGGAAGGATCATCAATGATCATGTGAGTTTGAGTGACAGATGAGAATTAAGCCTCGGGTACAGTGGAATGAATTTTCAGCACTATGCTGGTACACAAAGGGCTTAATTTTACACAAGATTCTTAGAGAAAAGATCTTCCTGACTGTATTATATAAATTAATAACATTTATTTACAGTTTTGAATGACTGATTTATTGTACAAGACTGAACATCACCTGAAGTTGAATACTTTCCTACCCACACTGCTTTCCGTAACTCAAGCAGAATAAAGCTGTCCAAGAAGCCAAGGAGCTTAGAGGAATGCTCTTTAATATGTGAAAATAGTTCAGACTCAGGGAAGTCTCTTGGTTCATGGGTTTTGATGTAAACAGTCTTTTTACCTGGCCTTTGGAACACACAAGTATTACATGAGTTAAACTACCTTCAGTTTAGAGAATAGTCTACAAATAATAATTAACGCAAAAACACCCATCACTAATTATAATGTCAAATTATTTTTATATTTTGAAAATAAACTGCCCTTTCTAAAACCTGGGAACCAGGGGATGTCCGTAGCCAAAAACCTTGCAAGATAGACTTCCTTTGCTAAATGCCTTTTTCTTTTATTCTTTTGGACCTCATTTCTTTCTGGCAGTAAATACAAAGCAATAATATGTTACAGAAGATCGGTTATGCTTACCTATTTTGTAATTTAAATTTGAGGAATCTCTCATTGAATGATCATAACAGAAAACAAATGTATAAGTTCAAACACTATCTGTTTAAACAGATGGCTATGCATGGAAATATGGCTTTAGTTTAAGGAGTTCCTAACCTGGAGCCAAGAGGTGGAGGTGGAAATTTTCATGGCTCACATATAATTTTCTGCTTGTCTATCATTTTTTTCGTGTTATCTAGGCATGAATAATGAAATAGATTACTAGAAAAATGGATGTAAACTGATCACCTCAAATTAATTTGGGCCTTTCGCAATTGTTTGCTTCTCTCTGTATGGAAAACCAGGAAAGATTAATTACATTTTTAAGAGGCCATTTAATGCTCATGATGTTTTAAGCACTAAGAAACTTTTAATATTACCACATTGAAGCTTTCTTTTCAGTTTTCATCCATTTGAAAATAAATATGCATTTTACTGTCACAAATCATTGTTTTAGTTAATACCAGTTTAATGAATATTACATAAAAATCAACTTTGCTAGTGGCTGCAGGTCATGAAGTCAAATTTTAGTAATGTATCTCCTTTTAACGCAGCAGTTACAGTCACCCAAACCATTAGGAAAGAGGAAGAACTGTTAAAGCCAAACACTTTAGAACAAGATACTCAACCCCAAATTTGTCAATACAATCTATGTAGGTCTAGCATTGTTTTGTGGGCAGCACATCTCTCCTTCTCCTCACGTGGTCTATGCAGGTAGAAAAAATATCCATATATGGTTTATTATCCATTTAAATAAGGGATTTTAAGGGGTCTTTTTAATGTACTAAAATATTTTTTCTCCTTGTTCAGTGATAGATTTACAGCTCTAGAAAGATAACAAGTATCACAGAACAAAACAGTATTATTTTTAAAAGAAAGATCCTTGTCCCTGTTGCTTTACTTCCTTAGGTTTTGGGATTAGCTGTTTGTTTTTTAAAAGAAATATTTCCTCCACTTTACTTGTTTTGGAGATGTCCCTAGTCAATTTTCTGCCATTCACTTTGGTTTATGATTGACAGGTATATCTGTGCATTCTGGCTATTCTGGATATTTCCACCTCAGTGGTACCACAGAGATTAACCATGAAATCATTGCTCCTGCAGGTAGTAGCATTCAGCACTGGATACTAATAATGCATAAAGAGTGAGCCAACTGATTTATCATAGTATGGCTACTGTGGAAAGGTGGAATGAAGTATACAATAAATACTTGATTGATAATTTTTAAAAATTCACAGTGATGCTTTCATTAATTACGTTATTTGGAGAAAAACTCAGATGATTTGAGGATTTTGGGGGTTTTTTACTCGTATGTTCCCCTTCTCTGTTTTTTCTTCTAAGCCACTAGGAAAAAAAAAATAGCTCCAATAAGAGGTCACTTAATAATTTACCACATCCTTCAAGTTTTATTGAGTTTTTGCTTTATGGGAAAATGTTACTCAGTTACACTTAATTAGTCATCAGTCAACACTGAAAGTCAGCAGCCATAAACACCACTTATGTTCATAACCAAATAACTGACGAATAAATATCAGTGTAAGAAACACTTATGGAAGAAATTTGGAACATATTAATACTTAAATATTTATAGAACAGTTAATTTTGGTGTTTAGTACAGCTATTCAAAAGAAATAGTCTCATCCACTTCCCTAATATTTCAGATTTTTAGTACAAATGCAGTTATTTGGAATAAATATCCATCTCCAAGTTTTAAAACAATCTTATTTCTGCTCAGAATTTTTGAAAATACTTATTATTTGATAAAAGAACTTTTAGTCTAAAATTAATATTTTAGTGCTTACCCTCGATTTAATACTATAAAAATTCATTTAATTTCAATAAAATTATTTGGTACAAAGGGGTAAAGGAAAGAATTCCATGGTCAGATTGGGTTAACTTCTCTTGGTTTAGCTTAACCTGCTCAGAGGCTCAGATCTCTCTTGAAAATGACACGTCAGCACAGATGATATGCTAATGACTGGACATGTGCTTAGAAAAATATAGAGAAACGGCTCTTGAATGCTGCCATTGCTGACAGCTCTCACCCTGAGGAAGCACTTGTACTTCTCTGTAAATACCCTGCAAGGACTGCCTAGGAAATGTAAACAGGGTAAGGCATGGACAGGCACCTTGTCCATGTGCAGTCTCTAACTGCACCCTAACGAGCACCCCTGAGCTTGAGTTTTTTTGTAGACTCATTTATTTCCTAATTTTGTGTAGAAGTTACATGCACCAGGACCCTGCTTTTTTAGAGTACATAAAAATGTAATTTAAGTGCAACAAATGTTCTTGCCTCAGAGAATATATAACTCAATAATGTAATAGTTTTTATTGTATTTTTTCATATTTCAGCTAATTTTCAAGTACCACTGCTGTTAGACATGATTTAAACATGAGCCAAGTGCCTGACATACCAAATATTCTTGCTGCCTTTCCCAAGAGCCTATTCTACCCCTCATCAGAGATGAGGAAGACAGAACACCTTTTGGAGTGTCAGCTGCTCAGTGTCTTTCCTGCACTACTATAGGTAAAGGACACTGTGAATGAAATGTAATATAGTCTGTGACAGCTGCTATAAAAGCCAAAATGAACAGTAGTGGGATATTTTTTGCCTTTCAAAAGAAGTGAAATGATTGTTCCAATGCAGAGAAATCTCTCCCTGCTCAGAGACCACTGCTGTGTGATGTTCTTAGAGGCTGACTGGGCTCCCTCCTGAGCATTCAACTCCACTCAGCTGAAGGTGATGGCAGTGATAATACAGTTGTTGCCACCTTACTCCTTGCCCCTTCCACCATTTTGCATCATCATTTTCCACATTCAGAGAAGCAGAAAGACTGCAGTTATATTTCCCTCTTATTTTTTTTTCCCCACTGCATTCTTGTTTGTTCAAAAGAAATAGATAGAAAATACTCATTCTCTTCTGGAAAACTTCCTGAAATGCAGGCAGTCTGTCTAGGTAAATACATTAGCTTCAAAAATGGAATGAAAAGTTTTTCCTGCTTTCCAGATGAAATAAAATAGTTACAATATGCAAATCATGTTCAGGAGTTGCTTCCCTTCCTTTCTTAATCCTCCAGGAAATCACTGCTGAACCCTATGTAGACACATGCCCAGGGGTGAGAACAGAACAGGTGCACATGTATTTGCCATGAAAGAACATAGAAAAGCTAATAAATACCTGCATTTTCTTGGCAAGTTTAAAAAACTTTCAGCCATATTCTTGCTAAAAAATAATTTTGTATATATCATGCTGACATTCAGAGGTTTAAAAAAAAAAATAATATCAACAAACGATATCACATATGTCTGATGTGACAAGGTAAAATACCTGAGCTTGCTTTCTTGTATGCTGAGCCCACTTTCCATGGATGACTGACTGTCATCAGTATCTTGATGTGAGTGTCTTGTACATTGGAGGGGTGTCTCTCTGTGCCAACCTCTACAATCTGAATCTGTGTGGGTATCTGTAGAGAAGAAAAAAGCTGCTAGAAATATTTCAGCCCATTTTACTTCTAAAAGACGAAGTACACATAAAATTAATTATCTTAATTCATTAAATCTATAGTAATAGGGAATTATCAAATCAATTGCAAACATTGTAATGATTAAATCACTTAATACAAGAGCAACAGAAAGAGTTTTAAGGTGATCTGATTGGTACTCTAAAAAATTTTGAGGGGCCTAAACCAGTTACCTTCTTGTTATACAAAATTCATTTTACAGTTTAAAAAATGCCCTATTCCTGGATTAGGAAGAAAAATTATCTTCTAAAATTTTCCAGTCCAACTTGCTGCATATTTCTTATGGGTCCATGCACAGCATTCTGAGATCTGAGTTTTTTGTTTCATTGGATTTTGGTTCCATGGAGTTCTTGTGCTTTATATAGGAAATCAGGCTGTACTTTATTTCCACATGCTATTAGCCCAGAAATGAGATGGTTTTTTTCCAGTTTTTAGGCTCTTGGGAGAAATGTGACAAGTCTGCAAATGGAGGTGCAAACTGACTTCCTGAAGAACATTTTGCTCCATAAATCATCCTATTAGCTTTAGTGAAAGGAAAGGGTTCATGATCTGCCCCTGATTGTGAGGAAGTTTCCTTCCATGATGATAAGAATTTGTGTGTCCATCTCTTTTTTTCTGTATTTAAAGTTTTGTTTACAGATTGGAAATGATGCTTTGATTTATTTTCCATCACAGTGTTTACCAACACTAGGTAAGCTGCCAGAAATTTATGTCATATCTTTTGCTCAAAGTGAATGCAACACTGTTGTGAAACATGCAAAAGATAAAGATAACACTTTAGAAAACAAGATCTTTTGTTTTTTCTCCTGCATATGTTAATGCAAACTTTTAAATTGTAAGTATATGTGAATTATTACACTTTCTAAAGTGGTCTGTACATAGAATTCTATACTTTGATGCATGAGTTTTCACAATCAGTATATTATGATTTTTAAGGACCTTGGTTTTTGCTAATCAAAGTTGTATCAGAACAATTAATTTTCTCATTTGCTAATCCCTTGGCATTTCCATGCATTAGTACAGTGACTAATGCAGAAACAGGGATTAAATCTCATCATTGCTTTTTTCTTGTTATTTTATTTGCTAATTAATGTATATGAAAAATGTGATAATGAGTTGAATTTAAACCAAGCCTAAGACATGATTACTGCATGGTATTTTCCACAATTGTTAATGAGGTAAAAGTCCTGCTGTCTTTCAGTAGGCTACTTGGCAAAACTATATCTTAGCTCCCAAGACACACAAATAATTTTCCAAATTACAGCTATTACCAATTACTTCAGCAATATTATCTTTAATTTCTTTAATTTATACTTTTTATGTAAGGTATAATAATGCTAAAGAGCAAGCTACCTGTCTCTAACGTTGAATTAAAGGAAAAAGGTAAGACATGTCCTTTAAATTTTCTTCTGTTGTCTCTTACAAGAAAGAAGTAAAAAATTTGAAGGAAAATTATCTAATTTCATAAACCCCTGATTGCCTTTTAAAAAACTTGACTTTTAGAGACATAAACGTTTTTAATTCAACTATAGTGTTTATCTAAAGTCAGTATTTTATTACTGTGACTTTGCTTGCAAAATTATAAATATAGTAGGTCTTCATTTTATTTAGCAGCCTTTTAATGGAGCTCAGTCTAGTGGAAACAGTGAAATGTCAACTTTGTTGCTACCACAACTGACACTGGATGACACTTCTAGAAAAGGCACTGAACTGCTGATGAGAACACATTTCCATGTTACTACATTCAGGATTTCAAGTCCAAATGAAGTCATGCTATTAAAGCAGCATGGGAGGGTCTTATATTTCTGCCCTTTATCTGGCATTCTCAAATTAACATATTTCAGGAATTGTCAAAAGTAACTGCAGTCTTCTACCTTTCCCGTGTCATTTATCATAATAAGAAGGCTGTACTTGATTCCAACAGTCAAGGACAGATTCTCAGGTGCTCACAGCTGAGTCATTCAGTAGGATAAGCAATGAAAATGCCCTCGTCAAACCACAAGTAGAAGATGATTCCTGGCTTTCTCAATAACCAAGATAGAAAGCTTTTTGAATTTTCCTCTGTGAAGAAAACTGCAGCATAAGAGTGACCCCTACAGGATTTTCACAGTGCTCTGTAGCTACAGTCCCAGGGCCTGTCCCGGGAACTTTTTCAAATATATTTGTTTGAAATCAGAATACATATGTCAACACTCTCCAAGTAGCAGCCTGAAATCACCAACAACCTGAATTTAAATCTTGCAAACACAGAGTTCCTATACCAGATTTACACTAGGTTTCTAGATATGAGAATGATGTAAGGACATAAAATATTCTGCTAATTCAATATGCCAAAAAACCTAAGCAGACAAAAACAAGAATGCAACTAAGGCAGAGGACATACTTTTAATTTTTTTTGTCCAAGTAGTAAAGAAGTAATTTTTATTAAAATAAAAAAAAAGAAAAAAGAAAAAAAAAAGAAAAAAAAAAGGTAGGCCATGTTGTAGCTTATAAGAAACTGAAATAGTTCACAGTCACTCTGTGAAAAGACATGTATTCCACCTGATGCATTAACAGGAGTATAGTTATGCAGACTATACCCAAAAACAATTTACCAAAGTTAATCAAAGACAATGCATTTTTTAAAAAAGTTAGACAATCAAAGAGTATATTCTTGGTATAACTTCTAGTCGTCCTTTTCATGTAGTTTCTTATTCATGCTTCTTCACTTTACTTTATTCTTGCATAAATTTTAGGATTAATCTTTTCAGACACAGTTCATTAGACTATTTAAAGAATAAAATGTTACACTGAATTATGTTTGTGATCTATATGACAATGTCATATAGAGGGATTGACTATATCAGTAAAGTCAATCTCTTTGTATTATATGTGGAAATAATGTGTGGTGATGTATCACCTGAAGTTCAGTTTTCATTTCTACTTTCATATACACTACATTCATATACATAGAAATATAAATAACTTCCGTCTTCATATGCACTAAAAATAAAGGCAGACAACCTTTTCTAGGAAGGTAAAAAATGCTGTGAAGGCATTTTTATTAAATTTTTATTAATGATTTTATTAAAACTTTATAATAAGTGTGCTTTGGTCAAAGCTGATGTGCTTCAGAGCTGTAACACACAGAATCTAGTACTGACCCTGAAGGAGGTACTTCCTTCCTTAAAGCTCCACATGTGGATCACCATAAACTGCTGAAACTGCTCATGCAGCTCTTTGTGGGATGTGGTTCTTACTTAGCAGTAACAATTACCAGTATCAATTGTGAAAATGCTCCAGAGATGACTAGACATTTAGGATTCTATAGAAAAATTGCTATTTGTTGTTGCATTTCAGGAACTCAGGTGAAATTACAGGAATTTAGAGAGAAATTAGTGACTGGAATTCTGGACCTTAATCTGTAACTCACCAAATGGTAATGCAAAGTAGATATCTAGTAAGATCTCATGAGAAGTTGGTGTTTTTGTGCCTTGAATCTCACTTCCATTTTTTATTACTTCTGAATGTAATCTCCACCAGGAACCTGGGCCTTCCTAGGAAAAACAGATTATAGAAATTACCTGGGAAGGATTTATAGCATTATCCACATTTTACTGAATGAAGTTTACCCTAAGTCAACAGGAGCTCCTCTGTAATGCCGTTTTAATATTTTCCAGCTTTTGTTAATGTCCTAATGTAGTTAGGACTTAGAGTTTTCTCAGTCATCACATTCAAAATATAACATTTGCACAACAATATAGGTAAATAGACATTAAGATGATTAATTTCAGATGATTAAGACACAACAAATATGAATATTGAAAATTATTCTTATCAACAGATTTTCCAGTTCCCCTTTGAACTGGTGCCAAACAAGTACATTCTAGCAAGACTGAAACCATCCATCTAAGTTAATAACCAAGCCAAAAAAGGAGCTTATAAAGTAACACTTTCTTGTAGCTTATTTCTGAGTTATAAAGCCCAGAACAGAACTGCAATGTTAAGATCAGGAGCATAAATGACTAGGAATGTTCCACAGTGGACTAATTATAAATGAAGGTTTAGAGGATCTGAAGAAATTAAGAAACAATCTCTTATCTTGCATCTTTGTTTGTTTAAAATTTCAGTATTTAAAAGTAAGCCACAACCTCTGTGTCAGCAAGTTGTAACTCAGCAACAGCTTGGGCAGCAGAGCAGAACAACTTGCCCTGGGGCTTGAAATGGCACTTGGCAGCTGTGATACAGAGCAACTTCTAATTTAAGCAGGAATTACTTTCTTCCTCTGCTTCCATTTCCTGAGAATCATTGAAATGTCACTTCAATGTATATATGAATATTTATTAGTTCCTGTAAAGAAATGGCTATAGAGTCTGATGAGAGATACTGCATTAAGTTATTCTCTGATTTTCTTATCTTCACCCCATCTTCAATTGCCTTTTTTATGTTTTAGAAATATTGAAGAAGACAAACAATTTTTACTTGCAAAGATGAAATTAATATTCTCCAGTTTACAGTTATTTCTTTAAAAAAGCCTCCATGGATTATGCATATGAAAGCATATTTATGATTGGGAGAATTGTGGATTATTAGAATAAGATACCTCTTACCTTTTCCATATTTAGAAAATTTTGCAGCAACTGCAGTTTTCTTCAGTATTTCCAAACTCCCAGAAAACATTTTTCTTTATTTCATAAACTAATGACTCTTTACTGAAAGCAAGTATGGTCATTCTGGTGGCCAAGTGACTATGGTGGATACATCAGTCCTGTACTGACCCAGCTTCCCCACTCATCCTTTCCTATGTCCTCATTGTACTATTAATTTCTTCTGTAGCACCACAGGGCACATTTCTGCTTTCCTCTTTGAGACAATGGTCAATTCCCATGAGAAAGAAAACAGTATTTTTCCCATTTTAATAGAGATTTACCCAGGGTCACAAAATGAAGAGCCAGTCCATGGAACTTCATCTAAAATTCTTTCACTCTAATCATATAAACCAAACCACCCCTCCCTCCCTAATTGTTCCTGAGTACTGCTGAACCCTAACTCACTTTCTGTGTTATTCCAGGATCTGAGCCATTTCTCCAGAGTATATGGCTAATGTGTATCTGTTGTCACTCTGAGAGCCATGTATTTTATGCCTTAATATTTCAACTGATGCAAAGGAGTTAGAAATCTACATTTATCACAAATGTTGTTACAGTATTTGGGGAGTCCAAGAATAGGAAATTTATAGGATTTTTCTCAGTGTTTTATATTTTCACAGAAAGTCAGCTTACATCTGTTGCATACTCCACAGTGGCAAGGGGAATCCATAAAACTCCTAAAATGCTATCCCAGAGCAAGCCTTTCTTCCACAGCTCTATAATGAAGCCCTTTCCATCAGCATGGATTTCACTAAAGAGAATGAATACAGAAATCATTAAACTGAAAATGAAATTTTAACTGCTCAGCAATTTATAATAAAAATAATAATTTATTATTATGATCGTCTTACAGCACATACAGAGGTGGGGGTTTTCCAATATACTTGTAAAATAAAAACTAGAAGGATAAACACAAATGTTAGACTGAACAAGCCAAAAAGAAATGCTTACTGTTCAGGATTGCCCTTACAAAATGATGAGAACTGTTTTGCTGGAACAATGGGAAAACAACTCAACTCGAAAAGTTGCAGATCCAGACTCTGTTTCAGTTATAATTATAGGGTACATGCATTTTATTACTAGCTGGTTTTGACCGAAAAAATACCATACCACAACCTTATTTTGCAAGAACTTAAAATCAAATTTCAACAGGCCATATCACTCCCCCATGACATTGAATTAATATTAAGAGAGAGATCATTTCCTCAAGCAATGTTCCCCATTACAGACCAGTTTTGTAAATATGAACAATATAATAAAGTAGGTATTGGTGTCTCTGCTATGGCTCATTGTATGTAATCTCCATTAATTTTAAGGAGTAAAACTCATCTTCATCTTATTTGTGTGGGGTACCACAGAGCATTACTGTGTACTGAAAGTTACCAGGAAAAGAACAAATGAAATCAGAGAATGGCAGAGGGTGCCACCTCTGAGACAGCTACTAAAATCATCACATTTTTTCAAAAAACATCCTGCATCAATGTCTAATTTTCTGCTGTATTTGTTTACACAACTGAACCGATATATTGAATTTTTGTTTTATTCAGCTTTTCTCTTTACAAATATGTTACAGAAGACCAATCACAAATTTTTATCTTCTGGTATTTTTGGACCACAACCTTTAAACTGACAACTGGACATTGAAACTGCAGATTGAAAAGTAATGCAATGTGCAACTTTTAAAATGCAAGCTGGTAATAGATGCATGTGATGGAACACAGTTTTTATTGGCAGACATGGAGTGAGAGTCCTCAAGATAATGGATTATAGTATGCTTATCAAAATACAGATAAATATATTTGCAAATGCTTGTTTATAATCCCTTTCCAAAGTCTGCTGTGTTATACAGATGATTAGGCAGCAGATGGAGCTACAGCAACCTCATAATGCAATTGCTACAAAAGTGGTTTAGTATTCTTTGGTAATTAGCACACTGCAAATGAAGAAAATAATCATAATAAATTGGTAATTTTTAATGATGGCAAGGAACACTCATTTACACAGAATATGATCAAAAGCATTTAAACAAGAGCAAATAAGTTGTTCTAAATAATAGTATAACACATTCCTCAGGAAAGTTCAGAGGTTAGGTAACACACACTCACTTGAAAATATTTTTTAATTGCCTCCTGCCTGAATGGTACCAGACAGGGCAAGTGCTGAAGTTTAATTGATCTACTTCCTGAGAAATTTTTACACTGTCATTCAATCCATGCCCAATGGTTCATAGAACTAATATGTCTAAATCAGTAAAGTTCTGAAATAATCATCATAACAGAATATTATCATAAAGCAATAATTGCTCTACACTGAAACATGACTTTCTTTTCTACAAGTGAAAGCTGCAGTGTAAGAATAATGTTTAAAAAGGTCAGCTTTCATTAGCATTTTCAAAGCCAGATATGATCATTCTCTTTGGACAATTCTGGCTGTGGCTCTGAACAATTTGTTGGAGCAGCCTGGTGACCAGAGAGCTGGGGAGGAATTAGCCCCAGATTAGGATTAGTTTGATGTGGTTAGAATTCAGAATTTTTGATGTGTCATTATATCTAGGCATGTAAAGAAGGTACATATGTTGACCTAATGTTCTCCAGCTACTCAGAGTCTCCAGCTGAGCAAGACAGCAGTTTGCTACAGTTGTCAAGAAATCAGTTGCGTGAAACCAAAAAAATATTCCCAAATCAACCACTATCTTCTGAAAAAAACTGTGATAAAGGCCCTAGAGGGAGATTAAGAATGTTGTGTATTATGTGAAATAACCAGGAAGACAAATTGGAGAAGCTTTTAGAAATTCCATTTTTAATACAGAATAAATTGGAATGAGGATGAAATGAGCTATTTAAATAAAAATGTCAGTTTCAGCATACTATCAAAATATATTTATACATTTTGATAACCAGAAAGTATGGAAAAATGATGAAAAATACTCATTCTTTCAACAAAATATTAAAATACTTGGACTAGAAAAAACTAAAATTGCAAAAAAGACATTCTTCATAAAAATAATTAAAGCAAATTAAATGTTTACTTCTGCAAACATTTCAACCATCTTAAGATCTCAAGAATAAAATTTATGTTTCCACAACAAACATGTGGAGAAACACTTGTGCAGGGAAAAAGAAGGGACCAAAAATGTTGGAGATTGGTGTACTAACTGAGAAACTAATGCAATTATATATATTGGGTTTAACTGCTTTGGAATGACAGTTGAAAGCAGGTTTCCTCAGAATGTCAGTCAGTAAATGTAAAAGTGTTTGGACCCTCCTGACCAGTGAGATGTATATAAGGCTCTACAGAAAACAATAACAACTGAATAACAAGATGTAGAGTGGATGAAGTGTGCAAAGACCTGCAGACAGAAGTGAAAATCAGTATGAATCAATCATAAATAAAGTACCTAAACTGGCAGTTAAGTAGCTAAATTAACATATAAAATAGGAATCATTCATAATGAAACTGAGTGAACAAAAACCAGGTTGTGTGATGATCATTTTGAGTTCTTGTCTCATTTGCTGTTGTCCTAAAACATTATCTGGAATTAAATTTAGAGACAAATTCTTCCCCTTGTTGACTGATGGCCTTGATCTGCCATGTGGCTTGCAAAATTAACTTCAGTTGTGTTCCCCAGAGCTAGTCTGGCACCTTTTCTCTGAGCTGGATACTTTGTCCTTACTTTTGTGCTCTGTACATGACCTCACATGCACTGAATTGTTCTACACTATACAAATACATCAAAGATACAACAAAATCAGTTGATAATTCTCTTTTACTTACAACATGAAGTCTTGTTCCCAGCAAGGCTCCCTTCCTCTTCTATCTATTGTAGTGCTTTTTAAATTTTGGACTTTTAAAACAACGTATGTTTTGGATGTGTCTGAAAAACAAATAACCAGCACATTAAACATTAAACCCCACTTTAGTTCCTTCCAGAAGATGAAAACACAACCATATGGCAGCAAGGCTTTGACTCATACTTCTATGAGTTAAACTCATACACACCTCTACCCAGAGGCATGGGTCAAATATGTGGATGTGAACAAGGAAATTCTTATTAGTTTTAATAGGATTATGACAGGAAAATCTCTGCCTGTGACAGGTGGGAGAGAACATAATCCTAAATATGAGTATTTAAAAGCTCAGCTTCCAGCCATAGCTTTTTACTGTTTATCAATCTCTCTGGTAGCTCTCACAAGAAAAGGAGTACACACTCCTTTGAAATGAGGATTTCTTTTGCCTTTTAATTGATATGATAATATTGGGGACTGGATAATGGGCTTTTATGTCCAATTAAGGCAAGACCATAGACTTGCAATATGTAAATCAGTCTTTGTGAATGAATCAAGTTCTGTGTATGCACAGATGCAGCAGCAAAATGGGTTTCAGGTGCAGTCCCAAATGAACTCACACATTTTTATAAATGCCTCTCTAAAAGCACAGTGTGAATATTCATAAACTTAGATTTAATCAGCAAAAATAATTATGCTTTAAAAATTTTAAGTGCTTGAGAGTATCACTGACAGAAAAAAAGAAAAAGAACTGAGAAAGCTCTATCCTGTAAGGGACTGACAGAAATCTAAGGCTGCAAAGGTGCATTCTATCATCTCAATGAACATGGCTTTTTAGTTTGCATGCGTGTAACACATCCTTCACTACCCTCCAGCATCCTAGGCAAGGATCAACATTGACAAATGACTGAAAAAAAGACTCCTTTTTTTAATATAAACACTGCCAAAATACATATATATATACATATATACATATACACATATATATACATATATATATATATACACATATATACATATATATATATACACACACACATATATATATATACACAAGATGTAGCCAAGGACAGAATTTATGAACTGTCTGTATTGCCACAGGTCAATCAAACACTCAGAGCTGAGAGAAGCTGTCACTGTCTACAAGAGATCACTGAATAGGTTGTATCAAATTACACTGCACTTAACAAAAGGTGTGAAGGAGAAGCGTTGTCTGTGTACACCCTGGATGCAGATCTCATTCATTAGGACCAATTTTAATATTTGACCAAAGGACTAAAGGTATCATGTAACGGAAATTTTTTTTTAATAAAAAAAGTCAACAGTGGCCAATGTTATCTATTTATGTTCTATAACTCAATACACCAGTCTTTTCAAACATGACTTTGTTTTTATACTGAAAAAAATGTGGCAAAGTCAATATGGATTTAGAAGTCTGGTGACTTATTTGTGAGAAACGGCATCAACAAGACTTGGTTCACACATCACCATTCTGTGTAACTGAGGCAAACAAAACAAAAAATTTGCAAAATCTTTTGTAGTTGCAAAACTTTTTTATAGTTGGGAGAACTTGCAAATCAAAGTTTGAGAAATTTTCAAAAGAACTCTCAATTGCTTGGCTGAAAAATAGAAACCTACAATGTTTAACTTCAGTCATTTAGAGCACTCATGTAAATTTAAGGAACAGTACCAAACTACCTCATAACTAAAAGGTATCTCTTTTAAATAAAGCCATAAATTACAAGGTAGAAACTTAAAGCCACAATTTTAGTGGTAGTCTGTTTCATTGTTGTATTATTTCATATTTAACTCTAATTTATTTCCCATTTGAAAGTTTCATGTTACTATGTGCCACACCAGATGATCAAACCTAATCACCTGCTATCCTTCTGCAGCTCCTTTTCTAGCAAGAAAAATAAAAAGTGTCTTGGACTGCCTGCATTACAGTGTTGCCTGAAACCTGTCATCTGTTTTTAAAAATGGCTATTTCTCCAGTAGTTCCTTGGCCTCTTGGCTCTTCTCTTGATCTAAATCTTACCTTTCAGTGCTTTTTGACTAATTCACCTCCTTTAAAAGTCATGAGTTGTGTCAAATAAGAAAATGTAAATACTCTACCTTTTAAATAACTGAATATGTAACCTCCTTAAAGAATGACACTGTCAAGTGTGAATATTATAACAATACCCTGGCAGTGGAAAGGAGCTGTCAGTTTTGCTAAATGATAAGAAGTTTTGTTTCCACAAAGCCATTATTGCATCTTCCAGCCCTCTACCTGTCAAAAACTGGAGGCACGTAATGCAATTTTTGTGAAAAGAAGAAGGACATGATATCCACCTGCTCATATCTTCAGCTTTCAACCCAAACCAGGGCAGAGCAGCTTACACAAAGGAATAAATAAACTACAGGAGAATCAGAGTTTTGAGAAATGTGGGTATTTCAAGACTGCTCTCATTCACCACCTGCAGAATTGTTCTGCCCAAGGAAACATGACCAATAATCAGAGAATATACCACTCAAACTTTATTGACATTACTTATGGCATTAACAAGGCTTCAACAGCATTTAAAGGAAAATTAGAGTTACTTATATTTTATCAAATTATTTTGATAATCACATTCTGCGAATTACCACCTCTTGAGTACTAACAAAATATAACATTATAACATTTTTCTGATTGCATTTGGACTTCAATGAAAAAGACTTTTCAGTCTATACTTTGCACACGTATTTCACAGCTTGTTGCTAGAAGAACTAGCAGTTCTACCTGTATCCATTCAGATAACCTTTCTTTAATCCAGATAAGCTTGAACAATTTGAATTTGCTTACATCTGTTAGCCAGACAGCTACTGGCAATTTTTGCTGCAGTGATTCAAGTCACATATCAGCTTCTCCTGAGAACTAGTAATTACAAATGTCTTGAAGGCCTTAGATTTACAGTCCACCTGTGATTGAGAAACCTCTGGCTGTGTTAGGACTTTCTTTTCCATCATGACTAAATCTTGGTAGACAGACTTGTGTAGACCTGGGCAGCTTGGTTTTGCTCAGATTTATTGCCTAAGGTATACACCTGGTTGCTATAACTGTCCATCAGTGTCTTCTGTCTGTATTTCTTCACTGGGAAAATGTAGACATCATCTCCTCCCAGCCCAGGCTAAGACAAAGTATTGTACTCTCCTTATTTAAAAAATTTTCTATTGACCAATGAAATATTTAGGTCATCAAATTACGTAAAAAATTGCTTTAGTGAAAATATATTTAAAATATCACTAGTTTGGGAGAAAATAACATTTTGTAACTTAAAATTAAAAATTGTCTCAGCTCACAACTTTGGTGGATAATTTGATCTTTAAAATATATGCATAATTTTTTACACATTTATTTTGCACTGTACTGTTGATCCAACGTGTCAAAGAAGTCCCAAGCTTAAATGATTCTTCAGTGTGATATAGAACCCCATGCTTAAGAAAGAAATATGTAAAGCAGAAACTGAAGGAGGAACCAGACTTACCAGTTGTGCTATCCAATCTTCCTTTTTTCACTGTATTAAAAAGAAAAAAGCAAACCATATTATTAGTTTCAGATAATACCTTAACACTGTTTTCCAATAAGTTTTATGAAAAATAAAATCTAAAGGATTTATGTGGTATGAAAAAAACTCAAGCAAAAATGAAAAAAATCCTACAAAAGCATCACAGTGGCAAGATAATATGATTGCTTGGAATTCTTTGGGAAAGACAACGTGTGAAAACCCTTCATACTTTACAGTATCTTAATAAATACAGAGGGAAGAATGGAGGTCAGGTGTGGCATTATACTTATTATTCATCACCTCAAAATGCCAGTTCTAAATTCTTCCCAGTAATAGTCCCATAAGACTAACTGGATGTATGTAATCTAAAATAACTTCTATCATTTTACAATGAATCCTTTATTACAGTATACTTACTCTGCCTGCTAGAACAGACATACTTGAGTAAACACCTTACCAAATAAAAAGTGAACATTTCAAATCCTGATTTTGCTCAACAACCTGAAGTTCCACACTGCAGTATCTCTTCCATTAATGAAGAATGCACTGAAGCTAGCAGGATTCTGATTCAGGTAGACATTGGTATGAAAATTTAACCTGGTTATAATTTTGTATCATGTGTTTGACTAATAAAATTCAGTAAATTTAGACTTTTAAACAATATTAAATATTCTATCAATTTTCCAGCCATGCCAATACATGTACCATTGTTCAATTTAGTTTGAATGAAACATCACTGCAGTCCTACAGTAATTAAACCTGCTCTGTGAATATATTCATGTATACATCATATACTTTACTGCTATTCTTAGGACCTAGTAATTGCCAATAAAACAAAATTATGAGTCCACAACTTTACAATCCAAGGGTTCCCAAGAGGTTGCCATTGTTTTCCAAAGTCCTTTCCATTTGCTTAATCTCCTGTACCTTCCTATTACTTATTTTTTGCTTTGATCTCTCCCCAAATATCCCTAAGAATTTAATGGAACTGCACCATATTTGAGAATTTCTGTCAGCCTGAATAATTCCATCACGTCTCACTCTCAGGAAACTTTCACTTTCAACACAAAAGCTGAGGGGCCTGAACGTTGCTGAGCTACAAACAGAGGCCAAACACTGCAGCGATTCGACTGCACTGTGAGCGGGCACAATTTACACACTTCCCTTGAAGGAAGTACTGCAAGAAATATTCTCATCAACATAAAGGAGCAAGGCACAGCTCCACTCTCTAAAGTTACTTCTTATAGCAACATACTAAATACTTGTCATATGGATAAAGGAGCTCGATAGGAAAACTTACCTTTTACAGAGAGAAGTTCCATTCCAGCAGAAAAATATTTTAATTGAAAATTAAAACATTGAACATTGAAATTCAGGGGTTTTTTTTTATACAAAAGGAAAATAAATAGTTTGGCTTGAATTAAATTACTCTTCTGCTGCTGCTCCCTCACTGCATGTGTGTTTCACTTTTGCAGCATGCTCCACCCATGGCTCACATGGAGGGAAGCCAACCAACTGATGGAGCGGAGATAACAAATTGCTTCTCCCTCTTTACACACAGACATGGAAGAGAAAAGGAGAATTATTACAACTGTTTCCTTACCCTCATTTCCTCAGCTTCTATCTGCTGAATGCAGCTGTCTGTAGTCTAAACGCATTTCCGAATGCCATCTTTTCCAGAAGTAACAAGTTCAGTGCAATTACTTTATTAAGAATATACCTTTGGAGCTCTTAAGCTTTGATTTTGATACTTGCAAAAAAACTGACTTGGAATATAGAAAATTTAAGGCTTTTTTCTTTTGCTATAGAGCCATAGAGAACACTTCTTATGCTATGGTTAAGCATAAGTAATTTAATGAAATAGTATAAATAAATACTGCACAAAAAATTGAATTTTATTATACTTCATGGATTTCTAATTCTGTTGCAGCACTTCAAAAGATAATAAACATTCTCATGAAGTGCTAAAACATTTTATAGCAATATTCAAATTATACTTAACAACACTGAAATTATTACAAAACCCGTGGTGCTTATGACTACTTGTTCAAATTATACTGTGATTTTTTTTATTTTTTTTTGTTTCTAATTGTGGCTAACAGTGTATATATATTTCCACAGAAATAAGAATATTTTACTTTGTAAATTTTTGAATCTCCATCATATTATAATTGAAGGCTGAGGTCTTGAATTCAAGTAGGGGAGTGTCCTCAGATCAGAGGGGAGCTCAGGAGCTGCTGTCTGCACTTCAAAGAAACTGGATCTGGAAGATGGCCCACCTGAGAGCTGAGATTGTTTAGCTGGGCTGTGAGAAAGCTTGGAGAGGCAGGGTGGCTTTAATCAATGTTTATAAAAACCTGATGAGAGATGTAAACAAGACTGACTCTTCTGATTGTTATCTAATAACAGGTGAACAGGCCAGGGACACAAACTGAAACTCACAGAAACAGAAAGGTCTTTTTTTACTGTGAGACTAGTTTAACACTAAAACAGGTTGTCCAGAAAGGATGTAAAGGTCTTTTGGCCTTGGAGATACCCCAAACATGACTGAACCCAATCCTGAGCAACCTGCTCTTGCTGACCCTGTTTTAAGCAGGGATGCTGGACTAGATGATACTGAGAGTTTCCTTCCCTGTGATTCTGTGATAGTCCACAAGGTCAAACTTAAGTGTGACACTGAAGTAAATAATTCAGGAGATCATGAAAGCCTACAGTCTCTGTACATAATGTGTGTGGCTTTTTTCCCTGCACAGAAGTGTCATAAGAAGTACTTATGTTTTTTCAGGATCATGCTACTACACCATAATGGGAAGTTGTCAACCTATTACATTTTGGTCTTGTGTTTTAGATTTGTATATTTGCATATCTCTCTTCTGAGTTCTGTTCTAAACAAGTCTCCCACAGCAGATTGATAGTCTTAGAGACAGGTTTCCACCTTACACAAACAATGGCATTCTGGGGAAGTTAACAAAGCTAGTCTGGTACACACAGGATGAGACACTGATCCCAAGGGTGCATTTGGATCACATAAAAAAACATATTGACTTGGAGCAAAAACCTAATTGCTGCTTAGTAAGATTTAGTAAGTAGAGTTCAAAGTTAGCCTTAACATGAATCAAACTTACCTTTTTCCTTGAATCCTTGGGTTGCAGCTGCGACTGTGGCCATTGTTCATTTACTTTCCTGTGATGCCATGATTGTTCATAAGCAATTCAGAAAGATGTTATGATTTTATGAGAAGAAATATGAAGAGAATACCTGAACATAGGCAGAAGGTCACTGTGGGCTGGGAACAGGGCATGTGCAAATGCTCATTCACTTGGAAAAAGCATTTATTATATTTAACAAAAGAATAGTGAAGAGCACTGAGTTGGAACAAGCTGTCAAGATGGTGTTTGGCTAAAGGGCATAAGAATAGAAGCTGCAGGATAAAATCCATGCTTCAGTACCTCAAGTACTTACCCTATTACTCAGCCATGCTTTCCCCAAGGTTTTCCCCTTTCAATATTACAGTTATTACAATGCCTGATATAACACTTCAGCCCTATATGTTGACTTCAGTTAAAAGGTCCCAACATCAATGACCTCTATGTAGAATCAAGAATGTAGGAAGAAATCTGGGAAAAAAAAAGAAGAAAAATTAATTGTTTAGATTGCATTTTTTAACTGAACTATTTCAAAACTGCTTATAGCTTTAGTTCACTCTATTCCACAGAAGATAATAATTAAGTATACAATGCTGTTATTAAGGATGTGTCACCAGATGCTTGACACTGTTGAGTGATATTCTTCCATGAGAGCTATGTAATTATTTTTCAAGTCAAATTTTCAGCTGATATAAGGAGAATATGATTCTTTCAATTTGTGAGCTTTTTTCTACTGAGAATCCGCCTTTTTTAAACTTCATCCTTTATATGAATCCATACAGCACATATTAACAAATTAAAGCTTGCCAGCATCTTTTAGTTAATTCATCAAAAGCAAGGAGATTTCATTCTGATGATTCACCCATTTGGCATTAAAACTATATATTGTTCTTTTCAGGAAGTTCCTCCTCTACAGGATGCTTGCAATGCAATAACAGAGGTCATGAATTCACAGATTCTAATATACTATTTTGCAAAAGGAAAACATAGCTCATCTAAATACTAATTGCAAAAAAATGTGGAAGACACCCTCCCAACTTTCGCAAGAAAATGAAAACACAACTTATTGTTGTTTAAAAATATGTCAGTTATGAAAGAGAATATTTTTTAAAAAACCCTGGTGAGAAGGAAAAACATCAAATTTTCAATTGTTTTTGCAAATACAAAGTGTAGGAACAGTCTCCTTGCATCCCTTACATTTTTGTCTGAGACTATCATGAAGCTGTGTTTTTTTGGCAAATTTATGCTGACCCATGTTTGGTTTTAAAGAACTTATGGCCTTGAAACACCAGCATTTTAACTACATTTTTTTATGGAATTCTTCTCTTGAGGAGAAAGTAATTTTGCTCCTTTGCAAGCTAATTCTGGGAGTGACTTTTTCATCTGATCAACATTCATCAGAACCACCTTAACCCTTGCCCATGAAGAAATATGCCAGTCACCTGAGAAGAGTAGGTCATGAAGCGTTTTTTTGAATTCCCCTTTAAGTCATTCATTGGCTTAAAATGAGAACTCATGGGGGAAGATTTTTGTCAAGTATGGGGAAAAAATGATGCACTCTTCTGATCAAATTCAAAGATAAATAGCTATATTTTCATCATGTGATCCTCATGACACAGAAACATGAAACCCATGAACAGGAATTCAACCAGCAAAGCAAGAAAAAAAAGAAGTCACTTTTCCCAGGCAGTCCGTTTCTACCTTTCAGAAATACAGATTCTGCATCCCCAGGTGTCTACTATAATTTTCAGTAGACTTCATAAGTGATAAAAGATAGAAATAATGAACTCTGTAACAAAATATGCTATCAAGGGATACATCATCAAAGTGACAGGATAAGTAGAAAATCAATCAGTTGATTTCTGACCCCGAAATACCATAAGCAATACTGAAGATAGGAACTACGAATTAGATCAGTTTTGTCCTTGCCTCCAAAAGACAGGCACACCTATGGTTAGGGATAATTGGTGATGTATTCTGGGCTTCACAAGAGTCTTGATAAATGAGTTCACAGCACTCCATTGACCCTTTCCCAAGAGGGAACAAGTGAAGGGCCCTCCTTCAAAATGTTATGTTATTAAACATCAAGTATATAAATTTTATTGAAGTATCTGTTCATCTCCAAAACTGTAGTGAAGTCTAACCACAGCAATAAAAAATCCTGAAGTTTTAACACAAACAAAAATACAAGAACTTGTCATAGATTCATATTCCACCTGTCATATTTGTGATAGTCACAGGAACTAGTAGGCTGTTAGACTAAAAATAGATATCTTACAGGTTTGTTACTATATTACAAAAAGTAGTATTCAAACTAAAAATAAGTGCCTCAAATTTTAAATTTTACATAATTGAATACTTAGAGGCATCAAGAAAACCATATAATTTTTATTTTAGTCCTAAACTTTAGAAATAGATTATTTTTTTATTAACCTTAGGGATTTTGTGTCCAAATTTTGCATGTCAGTTCACATCTCTCCTTCTTTGACTTCAAAAAGACTCAGAAAACTACCACTTATCTGCCTTTTGCAAATAGTGTTGGAATTAGCATCTGTACTTAAATAATGCAAGGAAATATTAATCTTGTAAAAATAGGTGTTTTCTTTTTTACAACCTATTTTAAGTTAACCAAGATTTTCCAAAGTTTTTATTTTGTTGTTAGCATTGCTATGATTTATGTAAAATTGCCCACCGTCACACAAAAATTAAAGTGTACTTGTATTAATAAAGAAGAAATAAGTTTCAAAGGAATCTTAGCTTATCAGAGGCCAAATCAAATATTTGTGCTCGGTAACTGATTGTGCTTTGGCTCCCTACGAAAGGAAATGTTTTCCAATCTCCATTGCTGCTCCATGTGTCCTTACATAGCCTTGGCTACCTCCTTGAGTACTTGTATTTTACATTTAGGGACACCTAGTGGCTCGAGTCTGATTTGCTCTGGAAAGCAGCAATGATTTTGCATTTCCAAATGAACTTCGTGGGTTTCCAGATCTTACCTATTAAACCATAGCACAGTAAATAGTTCACAAAAGAAATTACCAAAACATGGAACTGTATTTCATAGTAGCATGAAAAGTCTTAGACAACAACAAAAAACGTATCCCTTTTTCATTCTCTTTTGAAATTCATACCCTGGGAGTAAACATTTCTATTTCGTTTAATACCATCAAAAATGTACCTTAATTATTTTTCGCCAGAAACTTCAATTTTATTCATCTTGTGCACCAGATTTATTATTTTGGCTTCTGTATCTTGTCCTAAATACACATCTCAAATAGATGCCATTTCTCTATGTATGTTTGTACACATACATTCCTTTGAACTTTTTATTTAATGGAGTGCTTGAACCTAACCAAGCCTCTTGGTGTCAGTAGTATTGCTCTATATGTGAAAAAAAAGATGGTAGAACATACCAAAAATTAGGTAAGCCTCAGTAATTCCTTCCTCTCCGATTTTAAATGGGAAAAAAAAAGTCCCTAAGCAAACAGTTTGAGTTTGACTACTTGGATATTTAACAGAATTCTTTCTAACCCAGTTAACCCACTTAATCTTACGAGTCTATTATTAGTTACGTACGCTGCAAATTTAACAGACTTTGTCTTAATGCTTTCAAAAATGCTCCATCCCTGGAACTCTCAATGACTGCTTTTAATCTACATCAGTTCTGTACCCATGTTTTTAAGATCATAACTCTCTCTTCAGCTCACTTTAAAATATTTGTATCTGAGGTTTCTTTATTTCCTGTATCTGTTAAATAAATACTCAAGAAGTGTTTAAATGAATATTTTAAGGTATCTATAATAGCTCAGCTTTTTCAGCCTATTCTTTAAAAAAAAATTACTTTGTACCCTAAAGCTACATTAAATACATACCTACAAGAAATGCAAATATTTCCCATAATAATATCTTTCTCTTGGATTCTCATAACCCACAAAAATATTAAGCAAGGAACCCTTAGAAATAAATATATATGGTCTTACAGAATCAAGATTACTGGAAAAGGTGTGATCATTATCCTTATAATAAGAAATTTTAAAATTGGGAAAATGTGCAACAAAAATTCTCTTATGTTTTTCCACCTTTGTACACTTTTCCTCGGCAAAGCACAAAGAATGAGTAATAAATCCATTTTTATATGTACAATCTTGCAGGGCAAGAGTGTGAAGTGAGGAATTATAGCAAGGAAGAAGGGCTCAAAAATATTTACGAGAAGGACAAAATAAGGAGGTTCCTTCCACGAGCACCAAATGCAGTAAAACTGCAATCCAACAATCCACGTTTTGCAGGCCGAGCAGAAACAACTAATTTGTTTTACCTGTTTGCACTTTGCTCCCTCTCGTGGCTAAAATTGAGCATGACAGCCCTTGCTAATTACAATAAATAAGCAAACTCGTACTTTTTACTCATATTTTAAAATTAATAACGTTGTGATACTACTCCTTTGTCGGATCTAGTGTTTAAAGTTTTATCATTTTTAAGGAAAAACTCATAAAACCCCTACAGTTTGTAAATACAGTTAGAAAATTAAGATGTTGAATTCTGTATTACCGAACACTTCCTGCCTTTATTTCCACAATGTAACAAGTACAGGCTTATCGCACCAATTTATCTGACAGTAATTTGTGAAATTACATTTATGCTCATAACGGTTTGCTGATTTAATCAAGAGCATTCTCCAGAAGTCTAGCCAATGGTGAACACATCCATAGCTTATCTGTGCAAACAACAGCTCCACTGACATGAAATGTGACATTTTTTCATCAATATTTCATCACATTATACATAGACTAATACAATAAATTCTCACTACTTGACAACTATCCCGTAATGCAATCTAGGCTAATGCTATTTCATATTTCAGTATGTGACATCTGTCAACAACGTTGTTAACCACTAATTGCTCTTATTCATCTCAGAAACATGCCTTGATTGCTAATTGAGGCCAGATAAATATTTCAGTTCATTGAAATTTCTTTGCTGCCCATTCAGATAAAGATGAAAAATCTTTAAAAGAAGATGAAAAGAAGAAAACTGGAGAAATTAATTATTGGGTGATGATGACAATAAAAACAGAGACTGAAAACAATATATCATCTGAATGATTAATAAAATAGTGAGCAAATATTATTTTTTGTAAGAAGTATTAATGTACAGGTACCTATACAACCGCAGATCATAAGAAACAGGCCGTTTTTCACATTTGTATAGGATTTTTTCCAAAGTTTTGATATGCTTTTCATTAATAGTTGTCAAAGCTTTACACAGTGGAAGTAAATATAATTTTTTATTAAATTAGAGATGGGAAAAGTCAACCACTGATGGGAAAATTGGCTGCACAATGTTTCCCAAATCTATGAATACTCAAGTCTGCAGTGCAACACTGCATTTCTGAATCAAGCAGCAGTTCATCAAGACAAAATAAAACTTCTTCAACAAAAGAATCTGAAAAATACTTTCCAAAACAAAATTTCATTTTACACATTCTGTTACAAGGAGTTATGTTTGGATAAAATGAGGTGAAGTGGTGTGCAGACCAATAATTAAGAAAAGAGCTAGAATTAGATTGCAAGCTTTCTGTAACAGCCTATGAACGCTGTGCCCAAGGAATGCAACCAGCGTGCAACTGGTGCCTGTAGCTGTGATTGAGAAAACTCACTTTGGGAAAGAAGCCTGACTTCCTTCAGAAGAGATTTTTCCCATGCCCACACTGTTCCCTGTCTCCAATTTTGTACATACTCATCTCTGAAATGCCCCTGCCCAGTGTTGATTCACTATGAATTTCAATTCAAGAATATTCTGTAAACATCACTAGTTATTCCTAGAAGTTGAGCCAAGATAATTCTTATAGTTTGCTTTCAAATGCAAACCCAGCAGACATCACAGCAGGTTTGATGAGTCTATTCATTCTGTCTTCCCATAATGCAGGCTCTTCTGAAGAACCACTGCACAAAACAGGGAAATACGGAAGAACAACTTAGCAATTTTATCTTCCTCTGTGAATCTTGTCTTTGCCACATTTTTAACTTAATCTGTATGTGTATTTTTACTTATGTAAAAAATATTAAAGTGTTTACATGAAAAAATATTGAACACTAGAAAATAATTAAGGGATCAAATCTTAAACCCCATCTAATTACTTTTCCTACTACTGCTATGGTCTATAGGGGATTTCTCAGTGACATAATGGCACTATTCAGTGATTCTCTTTGCTCAAGGAAATAATGAGATGGCTAAACCATGGATATTGAGAAAGGGACACAGCAAGGCAGTATTTCACAGGAAAAGAAGAATGACAATCCAAAGTTCTGTGAACCTGATCATCAGATCAACACTTTCAGAAAAAAACATGCAAAAGTTCCAACAATGATTTCAATAACTGGTTCACCCTCATACTCATCTCAAGTGTGTTTTTTGGCATTACAGCTAACATCCTTGATCCTGTTCTTGAAGCATGCTTCAAAATCTCCCTTTCTAGTTTCTTAAAAGAAATTACAACAGAGTTCCCAAACCCTCAACAACATCAAATTAAAATCTTGTCGTATTTATAAGTCATACAATTTTTTTTCAGAACCAAGTCATTATTTTTACAAGAACAGTGGAATGTGAACAGGACAATTTTCAGCAGAAGTCTTCTACTGGTTGCCTGAAGGTGGCCTACAAGGATTAGGCATTAGAAATTCTTTTCCATGAGGGTGGTAAAACAGTGGAAGAGGCTGCCTAGAGAAGCTGTGGATGCCCCATCCCTAAAAGGATTCAAGTCACAGTTGAAAGGGGCTCTGTGTAACCTGGTCTAATGGAAGGCATCCCTGCCCATGACACAGGCTTGGAACTAGATAGTCTTTAGGGTCCCTTCCAACCCCAACCATATTAGGATTGTATGAAATACAGTTCTGTAGTATTAATGTGTATTACTTTTATTGTATGAAGTCAGCTGTTTTCCCAAGGCAACAAATACGATGCTGAAAGACAAAATAGAAGTCACAGAGTTGTGTGACCCTGTCTGAGTGTAAGATGCAATTAAAGGTCTTTGGTGTGACCTTTCCTTTGTGTCAAATTGTGCCAAAACATATGTGACAGTTTTTGTTATGGAAACCTCCATGTATCAGAGATTAAGGAGAAGCTGTCAAAATAATTTATTTAGGTTCACACAGCAGAATTTGAGACTCACCTGAACTGTCAAAAAGCACAAGCAGTATCTAGTTTTTCTGTTAGGTTACTTGGTCTCATACAATTATTTCACTTTCTTGATAGCATTTTTTGATCATAAAAACTTTAACTGAGGTTCCAGTTACTGATTCTGATTTTAAAGGGCTAGTGTTTGTTCACTTCTTCTGAGAAAAATAGTGTTACGGTTTATAAAGTAAGTTGACTTGTATCATCTTGTTTTGCTTTCAATATAATTGTTCCTAAAATCTCCATAAGCAAGCCCAGAAAAAGAAGTACCTTTATAAGTTTTCATCTGACATACCATGTTTCACTGTTCCGTACTTGGCCTGATACGGTTTTATCAAATATCACCCTTTACATTAAAGCTCTATTTTCAGGACTTATAACTTGCTTACATAAAATTATTCATATGGTAAGTGATTTATGAAGTCTCCTCTTCAAGGTTTTTTATTTTATTGTATTAAAAACATTTTGTAATCTAAACTCCAGAAGTGCTAGGAATAAAGTTTGCAAGAAACATGTTTCAACAAATTACTTTACATACTTTTGTCCTTTTTCATTGCATTCACGTACCTATAAAACAAAGCCTATTGACGCAGACTGTAAAAACATTAGCACATTTGATAACATTACTATTTAAGTCAAGGCCAATATCTTGGGGAAATAGTCTTACTGTAAATCTGAATTCAGTAATACTAAAATAAAAACATTGCATACTTCAGCTACTACATTTATTATATTAAAATAGGAAAAAAAAATATAGTTAAATCTCTTGGCATCCTTCCAACTTCCTGTATATTTCAGGCAAATGAAGGTATGCCTTTAGAGAAGAGAATTTTCTTTGTATGTAATGACTCTCATGATGTTGTTTCCAGCCCTAGATGTGACTGTGACTACATATTTCTGTAGTTAAGATGAACTCACCCGTGCACTGCACAGCCTGTTCAGCTCCGCTCCTCACAAGAATCTCTGAGCTTCTCTGGGACTGACCTTCAAATCAAAAAGACTGAACACACATCACGTTTCGCGTTCTTACGGTATCCATTCAGTGCCGTTTATTCATTTTTCTCAGAAAGAAACACCTGAATTTACAAGACGCATCCTCGCCGATGCACAGCCCTCATGCCACCATGTGCGCACGCAGCTCCCTGGGCGACGGCCTCGAGCTTCCCACAGCTGCTGCTGCTCCCACACCTGGGGGAATCACACCATGCCTGCGGGAAATAACACCCCGCCTGAGGAAAAACCACACCATACCTGCGGGAAATCACACCCCACCCGCCTCCTGCCAGTGGAAATGTTCTTTTCACCCTACTTGAGGCAGGCCGGGCAGATGAGAAGCTTCCTCCGCCTCACTGCCCGCGTAGCAGCTTTGAGGGCTGGGCTGGGCCCCTGCCCATCCCGCGGCAGGAGGGTGAGGCTCCGTGAGGGGAGAGCAGCGGCTGCAGCCCGGCTTTTCCCCATGTCATTTTGCTCCAGGCCGTGTTTCGCCCCGAAGAGCCGGGGCAGGGAGCAGCTCACCGGGCTGAGGGCGGCCGTGCCGCTGGGGAGCGCCGGCCGGATCCGGCCCGCACTGCCCGTGCCGGGCGCTGCCGCTGCCGAGCGGGATAAAACCTGTCCCGGCTGCCTCCCCCTCCCTTCAGCGCCCTCGCTGCCCCGAGTGGTGCCTGGGAGCCGCTGGAGCTACGGGCAGCTCCGGGCTGCTGCCCCTCGTCCCCCCTCTTTCTGCCGGGGCTGCAGCCCCTCGTCCCGCTGGGGATGCCCTGTGCCGCCCTAAGGCTCCGCTTCCTCAGGTTTGTCAGCTTTGGCAATAGCTGGCTCCCCAGAGCTGCTGTGGTGGGTGAGAAGCCTTTTTAGCCGATGCAGTGTTTATTTTTTCTTACTTAGGCAAATTTCATCCGTTTCTGGGAGGCTTTGTTGATCTGCTGCACGTGTAGCCTCAACTTTGTAACTTTCAGCTGTGGTTTGTGACGCTAGATGTTTGTTTTTTCTGTTTTCAGAGTAGTTTGGTGAATTGCATAGATTCCATCAATTACCTCGGCATGTATTTGTTCACTGGATTAATTGGAGAGAACTAGTAAGGTAAGAGCACATAGAGTGCAAAATATTAGCTCTTTGAAGTGTGAAAATGCTTTTGTGCTATTTTGGTGATTCATTATGGAGTATTCCTTACTGGGTAGATGCAAAGAATACAAATTTATTATTTTTTTTTTTTAATTTTTTTTTTTTTTCTTTTTAGCAGTCCCATTTTTTCTTGCAAATAGTTCTGGTTAAACAGTGAGATTCTTTTGAGACTTGCTCAATTAATAATTAATTAGGATGGCTCACTTAGAGTCTTGTGGCATTTCTGTCACGATTACTTTTTAGCAGGTGCTAGAAATAGTAATGGTTGTCTTAATATACAATGAAATTTTAACATGCCAGTAATGTCCCTGGTAGAGAGCTATGGTTTTTTTGGGATTACTCATTGCAAAAATGGCTGTTGTGGTGAGGTAGGTCTGCTCAATGGTTTGTGTCAAGAGGACTGATTATGTGACAGCAACAGGTTTTTATCATTTAAAGGCATTTCAATACTCGAATTTGAAGCTCACTGTAAAGAAAACTGCAATCCATAAACTGCAACGCATTGAATAAGTTTTGGACTTCAATCCTGCTTCATAATAAACACTGTCTTTTTACCTAAGCATGTTAGACTGTGTATATAGCAAGTCATTCAGAGTTGTTTACATTAAACATCTACATGCCCTGTAGCGAAGAACACTGCAGAGAAGTCTGTTTGTTAATTGAGAGTATCCAAAGTGTAAAATAGAAAAAAGTAGCTTGTCAGAATTTAGAAATTTTAGAAAAATTCAATTGCTTATACCACTAATCAATGATTATTACATGACAGCCAAAAAAACAAGGACTGGTGAAATGTTCTGGTGGTTTTATTTTCACCATCTGATTCCAATTCTGTTTGTTATTTAAACAGCCCAGAGTACAGTGTAGCTGAACCAAAAACATTACCTTTCTGTTATCAAAAGGTTTTTTTATGAATTCAAGGTCACTTAAGGAAGACAAAATTGACTTAAAACTTTGATTCACATTCCCTGCCTGTCATTTTGAGATACTGTAAATTTTGGGTTTAACTTTCACATATCTTGTCTTTAGCAGATTGCATGGGGGTTTTTTTGTGTTAAAACAGTGTAAATAAAGTTGAATTTTGTAATTATGTCTAGTTCATTGCAGCATTTGTGATATTTCATAAAATGCAAGTCAAAGCTCTTGTTGCTTACAAGTGGATTTGCTTACATCTGTGGGGTATTTTGACCCAGACTCAGTTTATTAATCTCTACACTTTCCAGGTTCTGGAGGCCATAAACTTGGAGATGACATTACCTTAGTAGGTCCTTTGGTTCATATAGGATTATGTTGGGATCACTGACTCTTTAAAGGGCATAAATGTGTTTCTGCTCAAAAACCAATTTACAATTAAGAAAATGTAAGCAGCTCTTCCTTTACTAGCTTGAGGATGGAGCACCTTCTTGCAGGAAAAACTGTTATTTTCAATAAACCCAGACATGACTGAATGTGTATAAAACTGAGGGTAAAATCTTTGAGTAACATGAGATTTCATAGAAATCAAAGCTTTCTGCAGAGACTGATGGCCCGTTCTGTCACGTGTGCTTTCCTGTAAGAATTGATGTGTGGTTGTCCTAAAACCTGATGGAAAGTCTGTTCCTACAAAGCATTTCACCATTTGGATGTGAGAAGCTCCACTGGAGATGACTTAAGGTGATACTTTCTCTATGCTCGATGCTTTAGAAGTGACAACTCATATGCTTATAGTTCTGCATAGTGCCTAAGCAAAGCTTAATTTCCTGGACATATCCATTCTTGTAGTTGATAGGATATTCAGACATCATATTTCAGACAGTAAAAGTAAATGTGGGTTTTTTTTTTTTCTTTAAGAGACATTCTCTTTTATGGCTCCACACACGCATCGTATGTTCTATTTTTTGATTAAATTTAGTTTATATGCTTGATATATGGGATTTAAAAGAGAGTTTGCTAGCTCATGTGCATTAATTGTTGTCTAACATGATTAAACAGCTGTGTTATTGAAGCCTTTAATGACCATTAAAAAAAGTGGAAACTCATATTTTTGGACACATTTTTGATTTATCTGTTTAGCCAAAAAGCATGTGATATTTTTCTGGGGAGCTTAATATAATTTAACAGTTTGAGGTAAAAAAGGAACTTCAAGAAAGTGAAGATTGTTTTACTGTAGCTTATGACAGTGTGAAAAGCACAAATGTTGGGTTGCTATGTTTTCACTGCCCCATTTTCCAGCTTAGGTGCAACATAAACTATCTTAATTAATATTGTGTCACCAAAAGGTTTTGAGATGGCCAATTGAATTCTGCCAAGATAGAGTCTTTTGATGAAAACATATCTTTATTGATTGTAGAAGAAGAAAATCATTCTTAAAATGAAATCCAGAGAAAAAAATCATATCCCTCAGAGAAAATTTCTGAGTGGCAGGTTGAGATTAACATCATAAAATTGAATTTGTGCTGCAAACCTTTGATGTAATCAGCAGCTGGGAGATGGTGTTGCCCTTACTGTGCTCCTTCTGATTGTGGTGAATTATTGTGTGGAATGAAATAAGTGTTTCTTGTGTCACTCGTTCAAGAAATACAAACAAGGTATTACCAGGTGCTTCTTGCTAGTTAAAATGGGTTGTATCGATTGCTGGTCCCAGTGCCCTGCTCCCTTGGACTACAGGAGCAGGACATCTCCATCCCCAGGGAGGTGGGGGTGTCACTGAGCAGTGACTCCAGCCCTTTCGGGTGTAGCCCAACAGGTTTTGAGGAAAGTCTTGTCACATCTTAAAGTGGACTACCAGAGGTGGTATGCAACATCTTTAAGGAGAGTACAACGTTTATATCATAAAATAGAGGAAGTTGTGAAAGCAGGCTAGAAAGGACCAGTAGACTGCAAAGCTACTTTCAAGAAAAATTATTTGCCTTTTACTAAGAGTAAAACCAATATTGATAGAACTTTATTTTCTTGTGTAGAAACTTGAGAGAATTTGTCAGACAAAACCAAAGAACAGACAGGAACAGGAGAAGGAGATATGTTAGAAACACAAAAACCATATGAATTGATAATGAAAAAAATTTAGGTTCAACCTAAATTTTACTTCCTAAGGTTTCCTTTACTACAAGGATGAATATAATGGTGTTTACATGGGGAGAACTTACTGAATCCAATGCAAACAGCTAAATTCTGCTGATATCTTAATATTTTCAGGACCACAAGCAAATTTCTGCAATGTTTTGTTTTGGTTTGTGCCTGCATTGATTGTCAGACATTTAACTGGACTTTTAAGAAAGTGGTCTTCTATTGACAGTTTGGAATGTGTAGGAAACATGAAATAAGTATGGCTATAAATTAAAAAATGTTGGTTTGGCAGGTTAACCGTTACCTGTAAAGTGATACTGTGTTGTAAGAAGTCTTTCTCCTTCTATAAATAAACTATAAATTTGCATTTGGTATTTTTTTTATGGATTATAGTGATGAGAAAGAATGTTGTCACAACCAGCATTTTAGAAGATGAGTTATTTGAGATTAGGTCCCTAGGGGGAGCTTAGCTCCTCATTTTAAGAGCTTTGGTGTATATATATTTATCAGAAGTCTTATTTCTTAATTAATTTAAAGATCAAGGTATGTATTTCCTTTATCAAGAAACATTCTTACAACTAAAGCTAATAGTTTAACATCTTGAGGCTGTGTCATACAGTAAAGCTTCCTTCAGGCTTTTGAGCAAGCACTGGAAATGCAAGGACCAGTAGGGAATATGTGCCACAGTCTTCAGTGGGGCAAAACCAGAACCCAGATTTCTCACTTCAGATCACTGTGAGTGCATGGGTGTGCAAACTCCTGAGACCTCAACCACTCTGCCCTTTTAACCCTTCATGTTCTCAGGCCACTGGCTTTAAGGTTATAAATTTTATTTTGAGAAAATGCAGCTCAGGGAAGGGATGTGTTCTGAGGTTAAGCAGTAATTATGTAGCGGTGATTGGAAGGTCTCAGATGAGCCCTATAGAGAAGCTAACAATAGTTTCATCATGTTTTAAGGTCAGTAGAGGAGTCAAAGTCAAGATGCACTTAGTATATATGGGGCAAGAATATGTTAAGTTACGATAGAACTGATTCTTTGTGGTATAATCTGACCTTTTTCATTCTCGTCAGTTCATGACCAGACCTAGTCAAAAAAGCTGAGTGATGAGGAAAAGACCTTGCATAAATATGTGCTTAGTAAGGCATTTAAGGTCAGACCTTTGGCTTTCTGGCCTCTTAAATCTTTTGATTAGAGTTTTAAATATGTCATGGCTCCTGTAGAATAAGAGGTAGTGTACTCAGCTTTCCAAATTAAGCTTTAGTACTACACAAATGGTCCAAAATTACTAAAGTAGTACAGCTAAAGTCCTTGAAGCTGTGAAAATGTGGATGATATTCCAGCTTTGGTTTTTGGCTTGATTTCAGTGTGAAAAGGAACTAGAGACAGAATGGCAGAGATGGAACCAAGTTAGTGGTGGGATAGGCTGGTATGGTTTTAACTAAAACCAGAGCTTTTCAGAAATGAGAGAGCACTCTGGCAGTTTGGTTATAAGGGCAGCACAAATAAGCTTATTAGGCTGTAAGCAGGGAAAAATGGGCACTGAGGACTGAGAAATGTGATTTCAAGTGGAATTATGGGTTAATACTGCAAATAAGACATGCTTGAGTGGGCAGAGCTGGAGGAATTTGACACGTGCTGATAAGCTACATGCAGCTTGATATGCCTTGGGCAATATTTGACTTTGTGAAAACAGCTTTTACCTTTTTAAAAGGAACAGTCTGATAAATATCCGTTGATTTTATTTCAAAAAAGTTTATGTGCTATCAGTATCACTAAAAAATTTGGTAAAGCTAAGTATTTTCAGGTAGAATATATCCATGTGGATATGCTGTATTTCTAGTGAAGTCATGCTACACTAAGAAGCAAAGGTTTAAGTCAAACTGCTTGTGCATCATAATGTCTTAATCCAAAAAATCAAGAAGCAAGTGGAGAAAAATGTTAAGGACTGTATTAATACAAAAATTCATATACTTTCTGCTTTCCTTCTCTTGGGCTTCAGTTGTAATGTAAAGGAAAACATACAAAATCTTCTCGTAACATTTCAGTCTAAATTGATTCTCTTACAACCAGTGTTTTGTCAGTAGCAATAGTTTTTTATTCCTGTTACTCATGAGTAACTAAACTGTCTGCAGATAGATCATCTTCACATCAGCAATTTCTATCAGTTTGTTTTCTTTTTAACATCTGTTGATTTGAGTTCTCTGTTACTCATCACTTTATCAGCAGTAGGTCTTTGGCTAAGAATATTGAGCTTGATTCTATGCTTCCATTATAAGAAAACATAATTTATGACTTAATATTCAATGCAGTACAAACCTTAATTGTGCTTCCTTGTGGTGTTTTATACTAATTGAGCACTCCCATGGTACAAGTATAAATAACTACATGATATGCAGGCAAATGCATTTTAAAGATGCAGGATTTGGCTTATCAAACTCTTTTGGTAGCCTTCCTTTTATAAGCCCTATGAAAATGACATCCTTTTCTAGTTTACCTGATAAGTAAAAACATGTCGTTAAAGGTTGTCCAGAACAGCTTTTATTTCAGGGCATAAAATGCAAAGGAAGAGGATTTCAGTATTCACCAGTAATTTCATATGACCGGAGATTTAAAAAAAAAAAGTTTTAGAAAAGTCAGATTCTAATGCTGGGAACAATAACAAGTCTCAGTACTTCTACATATCCACAAAGAGTCTTTAAATAAAACTGAGATTTAGCCTAATGAACTCATGACCTCAATTTTTTCTTAGATTCTTCTTCCTCTGCCCTCAGTCCATTAAGATTGTATGGCAAGACCTCATCACTCTGGCATACCAGTCTTTTTTCTCATAGCTGGCTCCTTTATCTCATTTTCTTGTCAGGAAGCAAGACCATTTCTTTAGTTCTGTGTTACTTAAGGCTTTTAGTAATAGTCATGATGATATCTTGTCTGCATCCCTGCTTTCAGCTGCTGTTGTGCTGGGTTACAGTTTCTCTAAGGATAATTTAGAAGGCTGCTTCTGTGCTCCATTTCTGTCCTGTGGTCTCTTCTGAATTATCACAGGAACTGCTCTTCATGTTGCTTCTCATCATTCCTGTGTTACTTCCTTTGACTCACTGTTACTGGCTGTCATGCATTTTGTTCTGCCCACTTCCTGTCTCTCCTCACAAAAGTTCAGCTTTACTGTCATGTTTTTTGACAGTTCTCCCAGCTGCACTGCTCTAGCATCTTTCATTCTGAACATCTTTCCCAAGGATGTGCAAAGGGTTCCAGCGTCTCTTCTTTCTCCAGGACAAATTGGAGCACGCCTTCTCAGAAAGGTGGATTTTGCTTAGTTCTTGCAAAGTGGTCATTCTGAAGAATGTCTTCAATTGTATTATTGTTGTCTGGATTAAAAGTAAAATAAATATTTTAACTGTTCTTTACAAAAGTAGTGTATGTCACCTAAGTGACCTTAGACAATGGTGAATCTGAAACAGCTTAAAACCTGTTTCTTCTTGTTCGTTGACATTTGAGAATAATGTATATGCTGACATATACAAAAAATTTTGACATCATTCAATCTGTCAGCTGTTGTCAATCTGTCTATTGCCTGGCTGGTTGGAGTCAAAACTGCCCTCAGACCGATGGACAACTCCATTAAATCAATTTTTTGCAGTGGGGAAAAATCTATTAGATGATAATTTTTTTTGGACAAGGAACTCGTGTCTTGAGCAACAGAGAGAGTCTGTTCCCTGTTTCTCAGCTTGCAACTCTGCTGCCACCTTTATTTTCGTTCTTGTCTCTAGGAGATGCAACAGAATGGTTGGAAATGCAGTGCTTTGCCATCTCGGGCCTCATTTTTCTCTTTCTCTCTGACCTGTCACCAGCTCTCTCCTTTGGCCATATTATCTTTCTTTCGCCTTATCCTCCTGGAAACCACAGAGTCTTTATTGACATCCTGCTCCTGTGCCATCTCTGCTCCAGCAGTTGGCTACTGCTGGCTGGAGGGAACAAGGGAGGTGTGTGTTCCACCAGCCACATTTAGGCAGAACAATGTGAGCCCATCTGAGCTAAGCCAGGCTGTGTGGGGCAGCTTGCCGTTCTTGTTGCTGATGTTTCAGTATTCTGATAGTACTGGTCCCTGAAATTATTAGTGTCATGTTGGCAACAGCAAAGAAATGTTTCAATGCCACATCAGCTTCTTACAGCAATATTTTATAGCTTCCCTTTCCAGATGTTGATTAAATTCCTCCCTTCTTAGGTTTTTTTTTTTCCTTGTGTTTAATCTTTCTTAATCATCATGACTTGTTTGTTTTCAGGTGTTGACCATGAAGACACTGGTACCGGCTGTGGCTGTGTGGGGGAGAACAGCTCCCTCTCACAGCATCACTGCTGTTATGATCACAGATGACCAGCAGACCATAGTTACAGGAAGCCAAGAAGGACAAATTTGTCTCTGGAATCTTTCATCAGACTTACAGGTTTGTGTCCATTGTGCTACAGTTTGCCAGATAGACAGACCGGAGTTTCATGTTTTATTATTGGTAATAGCATTATCTAGATTTGCACTTATTCAGATGAATTTTTCAAGATAGTGTGATAATTGTTATAGGAAACTCATGAAACAGAAAGTAAAACGCCTATATAAGTAACCTGTTACTTGCAAACTTCAGAGAATTTTTCATAGATTAGCATGACTTTTGAATTATAAAGTGAGACCGTGTGCTCTGAGTAATGACAGCAAGTAAATACATAAAATTATCATGATTCCTATCTTGTGAAGGTTTTTCTTTTGTAAATTAATTCCCGATCATGACTTGTCATTTAAAGAAAAAGTATCTACTTATAAAACCAAATCTGTCTACAGTGAGAGAAGCAGAAAGATGAAACTTCTATTTTTTATGTAATTAAGATGCAAATTATTTCTTTGATTATTTAATATTTATTTTACTGAGACTGGAGCAGAGTGAAAATGGTTCCTGATTTTTTTATTCTGTGTTTCCAGAACTATGGTCTTTTTTTATGTTAATTGTTCCACTTGTATTCAAACACAGCCTGAAAGTTTGCACTTTTATAAGGCTTCCTTTCCCAATTAAAACACTTGCATGCAGTGATGATAACCAGAGAGGTTATTTATACATTGGTATGAAACACGTTTAAGAGCTTTGGTTGATCAGTGGCACTTCACTGTGCCACTTTTGGTGCATGCTGTAGGGTGAAGGCAGGAGTAGTTCTGCACATTGCCTATTTTATAACATTTGATGTTCCATATGTTCTTCAGAAGATGAATGCAACGAATACAAAAGCTTAGCTTTATGCTAATCTGCATAAAAATTCATCCACATTTTTGTTTGCACTCTAGAAATATGACTGGAGAAGATAAGAATATGAAGCAGGTTGATAATAATATATATCTACAAGTAATATTCTCTTGGTTTTAGATACCCTTAGTTTATACAGAAGTTGTTTAAGATAAATCATTATATTATTCTCCTAGATTTCATCTAAAGAAATTCTCTTTGGCCATACCGCTTCCATAACTTGTCTGGCAAAAGCAAGAGAGTTTGAGAAACAGCCATATGTAGTAAGTGCTACTGAAAATGGGTAGGTAACTAAATATTCAATTATTCATTTCTCAAATCATGCAATGTCAAGTGTAGGTCAGATTATGCATTTGCAAAAATGTTTCAATCTACTTCCATGACATTAAAATGTTAGCAGCTACTTAGAATAAACTACATTGTTAATATCCATAGTTCATGAGCTCATCCCATGGACAGCAGAAAGCTTTGGCAGATTCACATATTCTCTTAGTTGACATAAAAAAAGGAGTTAACCAAAGGAGTTGGCTAGCCCCTCTTCAAAGGGAAATTGATGGGTTATTGGAGGGCACCAGCAAGTTCAACAGCATTTGAATATCATGGTATTTTTCTTTGTTTCTTCCTGAACTCAGTCTTGAGAACTAAACCAGTAAAAGAGGCTAATGTGCTCTGATCTGGTTTATGGTTCCTCAGTCAGTTTGTATGGAAACACAGAATGGACTGAATTGAAAGCATATGTGCTCCTTTTCTGTCTTTAAATGTGCAATGCTCTTTTGGAGAACATCCTTTCAGAGGGCCATGATCTTGCAGCTTTTCTGCTATTTGTTTATTATGACATTGTCTGTCACTTGAGTCAAACTACTTCCCGCATTTCTGCTAGGTTACACTTAAGAATATTTGTTTAGGATTTCGTCTGTTAAAAATAGTCAGGGCTAGCTGTTTACTTTCTTATGGGCTTTCTTAAGCAATTTTGTCTGTTTAATTAGATCCCCCTCTTTTTTTGGGGGTTTATCTTTTTGAATTAGAAGGGCAGCTCCGTTAAAACGGCTTTCCGTCATGAAGAGTACCTGTCAGCTGTCCTTCAGCCTGTACCTTACAGCCCCTTAAGGCTGCTGGTTTCTCACTGAGTAGCTTATTTATCCTTTCCAGCTGCTAGGATTTTCATTCAGTCATGAGTATGCAAAAAAGGGATAACCTGCAAAAAAATTTCTTGATCTTGAAAGATTACCTGTCCAGTGAGACAGTCTAGTGATAAATGCTACTGTTTGTTTTGTTTATGCAGAGAGGGTGAGAAATCTACAGAACCAATTCTGTATTGCCTTCTACAGTTCTGCTCAAGGGTTCTGAGATGAAACTGCTTTTCAACCCAGTTTTGAAGGTCTGTTAGAGCAGTACTGCTTCCAGATCATACTGGGAGCAAAGATATTGTATTTCCAAGAAAGCTGGGGTGGAAAGTGTTAAGAACCAAATGAGGAAATTGCTATAGATATACCATACAGATATGTTTGCATCCTTAAGATTTTATCTCTGAAGGGATCACTGAGTTGTTTGGAATGTGTGTAGGTAGGATTGAATTGTCTTCTGGCCCATTTAAGTGCTCACTTTCACCAAATTACTGCTGACTTCTCATCTGTATTACATAAGGGCAAAGCATCCATCACTGATCCCTTTAAGGTTGCAGCATGAAGTTGAGATAATTACAAATAGGAAGCCTTGTCTTCAGGAGATGGAGGATTTGCCAAACTGCATTTTCTGGCTTGTGAATAATTCACTTCTGCCATTTTCAAGCTTCAGTCTCCTCATGTGGATGGAAGGAATTGCATAGAAGATGATGCTATGATAATCTTCACTGTTCCACTCCAGATTTTCAGAGTTTCTATAACCTACTAATCCCAAAAGAATGAGCATTGAACATTATTTTTTTGTACTCCTAATATGGAAGTTTGTAAGTGAATCTAATGATTCATAAGTTCTCATTGATGTCCTGTAAATGACAAACCTTGAAAGAAAGCCCTTAAGAAAGTCTTAAAACATATGCTGAATGGAGTGTGTGATATTGCTCACTCCTTAGTAGTACACACAGTAAATTCAATACATCATCCCGAAGCTGAAGTTATATTCTCACATTCTGATCTCATTTGTGCTTTTAAGTATGTATCTATCACAGTAATGTACATAAAGCAGTAAAGTTCTGATATAAACAAGGAGAAAATAATTGCTCTGGAATGCTTAACAAACAGTGTAAAGCTTTAACTTAAGTTCTGACTTTGGATCTACTACCTTTGACACTGCTATTGCTCAGCTGAAAAATATTAAGAAATAATACTTTGAGTTTAACATAAAATGGGAAAGTAAGTTAATATATAAATCACTAAGTAGTATTTCTTATATAATAAGATACGCCTCATTTACAACATTAAATTTGATTGTCTCTTGTAATCCAGTCCCACTGCATGCTGAATAATGTGTAGATAAGGAAGGTGTGCCAAAGTGTCTTTCTCAAACAACCTTTAATGCGCCCAAGTGTAGCTGTAGTGTTGCACAGGTACTCAGGTGCTTGAGTGTATTGAGAGCAGATTTCGGGAACAGCCTCATGATGGCACTGTTTCTTCTTAACAAACGTTGTTCCTCAGGAACTGAAGTCTGATGTGGGAGAAGATGCATAATGCTTCTCGAAACGTGTGGTTTAAGTTCAGTGAAATGAATCATTTTCAGGAGGATGTAGTTCCAGTGACAGATAGTTACAGTGACATGTTGACGAGCTGTAATGTCAGTATACCTGCAATTTGTTGTAGACCAGAGTTGGTCTTAAAGTCAGGTTGGTTGCAAGGCAGTAGGGTGTAATTACCAAAACAAAAAGAAACAGATAGTGTATGTCATCCCCTCCTAATGACTACATTTTCTTACCCAGCAATCTGTAACAAAAAGCCTTATAAATGACCAGACTGCACTTAAATACCGCACTAAAGAAAAACTTGGTGGCATAAAATTATTCCAGCCAATTGAGTGGAAATGACAGAGAATAATATGAAGTTATCTTTGGCAGGGAGATGTGTGTTTGGAATGTCACTAGTGGACAGTGCATTGAGAACGCAAAGCTTCCTTATAGGCATACAGCAATCCATGTAAGTATAGCAACTTTTCATGGGGTCTCTGTTCATTACAAGACTTTTGCTTTATTAACATGATATTTTTCAGAAACAGTTCTACATATATAGCTTGTAACATAGGAGAAAAGACCCTGTCACAATATAAGTAGTTTTTGTCTCTTCTTCCGTTTTGTTTCTTCTCAGGAAAGAATTAAGACTTTTAAGTTTCTCTGAATTCCTTAACCAATTCAGACTGATTACTTTTAAGCTGCAAATATCTGAAATGCAGTATTGATTAACTTAGTGTAAGTGCATCAGGTAGCCAAGTGAAATGGTCTTAATCTTTGCTCTTGTCTTGTTAAAATTGTATGGAAGCTTCGAGTTTGTTATGGCTTTTTCATGGCATTTTTAAGTGCAAGTAATCTGGCCAAACATTGTGAGACAATCTGCTGAAAGACATATTTTTAAACTTTTGAATGGTTTTGATGCTGAACTCTTGATCTCCAAAAGACTTCGCTCCATTTTCAAAAATGCACTTTCATTCATTGCAGAACTTTAGGACAAATCCCTTATTTTCAGAGACTTTCAATATTGCTTCAGATAATTTCATGTGTCTGGTTGAAATTGTATCTAGGTAAAATAAGTACCTAGATTTTGGAGTGTGGCAGAGTTTGACATACACATGTGAGTAAGACTGAGGGGCTCAACATTTATGGATTTGATTCTGGGACATGGCTTTTTTCTGGATGTGTTAGTAGAGGAGAAGCTCAGGGCTCCTGTGTTAATTACAATGCTGTTTTTCTTCAGTGAGGAAGTCTAGGGTAGAACTAAGGCTCCAAATGATGGCCACCTGAGCCTTCATGTAACTCCAAAGCACAGCCAATTTGGAATTCAAAATTTTTGAAGCTTCCAGAAGAAAAATGTTTTCCTGACACTGCTTTGGTTGATATGAGGAGTTCAAACACAGTTGTTAATTGTAAAGGGAAGAGGAAAAAGCTTGGACATATTGCCAACAAAAATTATGGAAGACAAACTTCTTAATTTTTTATATATATATATATGTGTGTGTATAAAAACATAAATTAAGAATTATTCTATACTTTTATTTGTGCATGTGCTTATAGCATATATATTTCTTAAGTGAATATATGTACACAAATAAAACAATACTTAAATTATAATCTGAGCTGCAGTATGACCTGCTATGTTCTAGTGCTTAATTAGGTATTAATAGATGAAATTACAGATGAATTCTAGGCAAATCTGGCCTAGCTGATTAGCTGACAATCTGTACATATTTTTTGTGAAGATCAGAGGCAGAATATTCATTCTTATTCTTCAAATAGGTGAAGCAAATTCTTGTAGAGAATAGGTACTTCCTTTGTTTTAGTAGTGAGCTAAACCTAAATGTGGCTAATAATTGTTTTTGTTCAAAAATTTGTGCAAGATAGCTACTAAAGGAAAATAGGAACATCTAACAGGAAAAGTTTCTTAGGAAAAAGTAGGTATTGCTAGGAGGGGAAATTATTCTTAAAATGCAGCCTTCAGATAGTTATAATAAAATGCGTTTTTCTGTGTGTGTGTGTTTTGTTGTAGATTTTTTTCTTGTTATTCCATGGGGGATGGTTGCTTGTGCTGTAGTTAATGTTTGGTTTTAATTCAACTACTAACCTCTCTGCTCTACTAGGTTCCTTTTGTTCAGTGTAGATGATTTAGCTATGAATGGCAGATGTCAAATAGTGTAAACTGAATATTTGCCATTTGAAATGAAATTTGACACCAGGGTCAACATTTAAACATTTGCAGATCTTAACTAGTGTGGAATTTTCTCAGAGGAATTACTAAAAATCTTCTGTATCAAGCCTAATTTAATGGTAACAGTAATTGTAAAATTTAAGCATTTCTGCCTCTGTTTATTCACAATATATGTAGTACTATTCATCCTATTTCCAGTTATTTATACTACTTTTATTTTAATACTTGTTAGTTGACTGAAAAAACGAGAATTATTATATAAGCAAAACTGTACAGAAAATTTGTAAATGGGGTGCAGTTTTTTTGGGTTGTCTGATATTTTTGTCTGACTACATGAGTGTTCCCTTTATTTTAAGGTGGCTGCTTATGGATTTATAGAAATTGTTTACAATTGCAGCTAGAGATGCAATGCAGGTGTCCTTGCACATATAAAAAAACCTAGGAAAAAAGAAATCCTCAAAGTCACTCTGTCTCTGTTCCTTTGCTTTGTGTCTGTTTATTTCCTTTATGTGATTGCTGAGAGAATCTTCTGAACACTAGGGCATTTAATGTCAGAATGAGGAATATCCTATGGAGTAGTAAACTCTCAAACTTCTTAGCAATTTATAGGAAAATTAACACCTGACTTTCTTCCAAAAATTAGAAAAATCCTAATATTTAGGAAGGACAGTTGCTGCTTTCAGTCTGAAGCATCTTTTACTAAGCTCTGTGCCTTGCTAGTGTCACTAGCAATATTGTGTACGGTTTCACAAATGCTGTTGATTTTTTAGTGATAAGTGTTGATTATGACATGTTCAGTGTGAAAAATCTGCATGCCATTTGTGTATCTCTGTGTGCTGACTCTCTGCTTTCCATTTGGACAGTATTACCATTGCTCATTCCGAATGACAGGTGAAGGTTGGCTTCTTTGTTGTGGAGAATATCAAGATGTTCTTATTATTGATGCTAAAACTTTGGGAGTTCTTCACACTTTATCATCATCTCAGTCTTCTGATTGGATAAATTGTATGTGTATTGTACACTCTGCAAGAATTCAAGGTATATGTTATACATGTATTTATGTAGGCAAATCAAATTGTGATAAAATATTTCTGTACAGATGATATGTTCCTTCTTCATTTAATTTGAAATTGTTTCACAGAGATGTTACCTAGATGTTAATGTTTCATTGACAGCAAAAAAGGTGTTTTTAAGGCTCCTAATATTGGTTCTGTTTTATTTTAAATGTTTTTTGGAGAAAGAAACACCATCTATACTGGCTGTAAACAGCTCATTTCTTATATTGAAGTATGAATAAGTTTTGTAATATCAGAGAAATTAAAGGCACAATACTACAGTTCTGTGCCTTCTGTTAATACATTATTCACTGTTTGCTTTCACGTTTTGTGTTTCTGTATATAATTTACTTTTATTTTTTGTGTAAAACTGATATGTCCTCGAAGCAGTGTCCTGCAGAATCCTTGTTTTAGTGCTGAATATTTAGTGCTGTTTGAATTTGGCTTCAAGTTGACTATCTCATTGTTAACTTTTCACAGAAGACTCTTTGGTTGCAGTGTCTGTAGCTGGAGTTCTCAAAGTGTGGGACCTGTCTTCATCTCTGAATAATATTCAGGTCAGTGTTAACATGAATGTTCTCAAGTAAGGGCTACATTGAAGCAAAATGTGAATAAATTTAAATCTTCTGGATATTTATTAAATAGATTTCATTACTTTTGTTACAAAATTCTGAAAACACATCTTCATAGCATTATTTAAAATTGGGCCATTGGACAGCTCTTGCTTTGACAACTGCACTACCTTTTGGCCAGGCTTCTTTTCTTCATATTCCAGGATGCCTAAATTGCAATGCTTTCCTGCTATCCTGATAAAGCCTTTGATCCCCTTCACTCTGTCCTTTAAACTCAAAGCTCTTCTATATTGTCCTTTGTGCTCTCTTTTCACCCATGTTACTCTCTTCAAAATGGTTCTTTAGATTTTGTTTTCCTCAGTCTGCTTTTCACAGTGCTGTCTTCACTTGGAAAAGACTCTTCCTGTGTCAAGTGTCCTATTTTTCTATCTTTAAGCCCACTTACTCTCTTTCGTATTAATATTCTCAGCAGCTGTCACCTTTCCATGAACAAGTGCTAGAACTGGGATGCAATTTTTGTGTTTTAATTAATACTCTAAAAGCTGGATTCACAAAGGGTCTTCAACAGTGAGACAGAAATGGCAAAATATCAGCAGACTTGACTGAACGTTGGTAACTCGTCACTGCCTGGCTTGACAAAGTGCAGGGTGTGGGCAATGCTCCTTGTTCATGGGTAGAATCAGGCCCTTGAGGAGAGTCTGTCAAATCTGACGCCATCCTGGTGTTTCTGACTTATCTGTGGTGTTTTGGGGTGGGTGCATCTTTTCAACATTCCTAGAGCAAGCCCCACTGCCATGTTGTAAAAATTCTGAGGACTCTACTGATTACAGATGTCAGAGGAACATATGGTGTGGTGCAGTCTTTTTACTGCCTGGGGCCACCTTTTGTGGAGGGATTGCTGCAGAGTTCGTAACAATCTGGCTAAATTCTAAAGAGCAGTATTTTAATAAATATTGTTGGATTTACTTGGAATTAACTGAAGCTGCAAAATGTAAGAAAATGGCTATTAGTTTTACAGCCATGATTGCAAGCATATATATCCCTTCTCTGTGAGGTTTTGAGACTGTTGGTGTCTTAAAAAACAGAAAACATCCATTTTAAGTGATTTAATTAATAATTAATATAATTCCAATAGAATAATTTCAAGCGTGATGACTTTAGTATGTCTGATATTCCCACAAAAATTGTGAAAATACATACACTGTTTTTAACAGTACATTTAGCAATACAAAGCTAAGAAAATTAATTACTTTTACACTACCTTTAAAGGTGTTAAGAGCAAACAAGACATATGGTAACACCAGCATCTCAGATTGTCCTGGTTTCAACAAGAATGAATAGGAAAGTGTAATATTCATCGGCTTTTCTGAATCCAATGCTCTTTTCATAGGTTGTTGTAGCTATTTTTTATTTTTTTAACACACTGAACGTTTACATTATTCTGTTTATTTATTAGTTGTGAACCCTGTTGTCTTTCTATTGTTAATTAAGAGTTGTATGTTGCTTTGAATTTTGAAAGTCTTAACAGAAAGTAATTAAAATATAATATATTTTAAATATTGTTTCTTTCCTAAAAGCTTAGATATCTGAAACAAATTTTATAGTTTTTTTCCCCTCTGTGCTGTCAAGGAGAAACAGAGTGTGTGCGAGAAGGAATCAAAGTCTCTGGACTGTATAAATTGCCAAGCAGTAAGATTTTGTACTTACACGGAAAGACTCCTTCTAGTTGTGTCCTCCATGTGCTGGCAGGTACATTTTTTAGCATTATACTTTCCTGATAATGTTGAAAAATCTAATATGATTTTTACAGGTAGATATTTGTTTTTCTCCCTGGGTTAAAGGAAGTGTTCACAAATAGATATAATTATGCCTGCAACACCTCTTTGCTTATCTTAACTGTGTGAAAGAGATGAAGCTTTTATTTTTTATAAATGTATTTCCACTTTGAAAGTTTAACACCAAATTGTCTGGATAGAAGGGGGTTTTAAGTATTAGACAGTTTTAGAGCACTGAGTGCATTATTGTCCACTCCACAGTGCATTTGAAAGGGAGACAAAGATTAAAAAACCCTGTTTAAGTATGACAGAAGTACTCACAGTTGGCAAGTCCTCAGCAGCCAGGGACCTTTGTTTGTTAATAGAAGCAGCAAAACTAAAGCCCCTAGGCTATATTGCTTTTTCTTGTAACTATAATAAAGTAACTAAAATTTAAAAAGAAATTACTAACAGTTTTAGAGAAAGCACCATATATTTAAACTGAAATTTACTGTAAAAATTCTGTAGTTTTCTTTAACAGTGCTACAAAATTTCTCCTACACTAATCACTCAGTATTATTTTGACATATAGCTGATATATACCTGATCATACACCTGATTCCAACATCTCTGTGGGGACAGGAATGGGTCAAAAAATTTCACCTGGGTGAATTTCGAATAATGTAGTTGTAGACTATGCTTGAGATGTCTCTTGGGCTACTTAAATTCTGTACAAAAGCATTTTTAGAGTGTAGAATGGATAGGGTATTTTATGGAAAAATATCTGTAACATGCATTGTTTCCTAATAATTTCTATAATGAGGCTATAACACCCTAATGCTACTTTTTGGTTGTTTGGGGTTTTTTTAACAGTAATTTTCTTTAACTTTGAGTTATATGGTTTAACTCTAACTTGACTTTAGTTAATTATCAAAACATATTAGGCTTTAAAAATAGTTGTTCAACTATGAAGAATTGAACTCGTGTTCTACTTACAGATCCACTGCCCAAACCCACTTTAGATTGAAATGAATGTGTCAATGCTATTTAAACAAATAGTATTTTGTTGTTTTTTTGAACTTAGGTCTATGATTATTGTGATTTCTCCTTGCTTTGTACTGAGTTCTGTAAGAGTGGTCAGTGCTTTGCTGGTGGGGAAGTGCTGGCAGCTTACAGACTTATCATCTGGACAGAAGATGGCCACAGTTACATCTACCAGCTGCTAAACAGGTGGGCTCAGATGGGAAATTCACACAAAAAGTTCAGGTATAAGATGAACTTTTGGAGGGTTACTATGGAAAATCTCTGCATGTTGCAAATGATCAAAAACCAGAACAAAACCACTTTGGCACTCAAAGATTTACCCTGAGTTTGACAGCCCTCAGTCTTTGTTTGACACAGCAGGGGACATAGGAATAAGATTAGCCATGTAGAACTTGGGCAGCTGGTGCTGAGATTTCAAAAAGTCTCCTGTAATTACTTACTTGGTTACCTTTAATTGAACTTGTGAATCTTGGATGTTACTGTTCTGCTTTCTGAAAAAATTACGTTCTAAAGCTTGTATGTTTAAAATTTATTTTTTAATTATGCAGTGGCCTTTCTAAAAGCATGTACCCTGCTGATGGGAAGGTGCTAAAGGAAACAGTTTATCCTCATTTACTCAGCTTTACTGGTATGAAGGAAAATAAGGTAAACTCATAAAGATTTGAAAGTTTATTTATTGTCTTTTTGCAATTACCTGAATAATCCCAGAAAATTGAAGAATTCATCAACAGATTTAATTGTTCTATAAAAAAAAATGAGTAATATTTATTCCTTCATTTTAAAGTTGTAACTTAGAAACTTGGAGATTCTCATAACTTATTTTGTTTTTGATTTTGACTATATTTAGGTTTTCTATCCAGTTGAAAAATGCCTTTATCTTCTGCTATAGATTGGTTGTTGTGTTTTTTCTCTAATTTTGCAAAAAGAAAAATATTTTTATAATAAAGATGTGGTTTAAAATATTTTTAGAATTTCTACTTTCAAATCTATCAAAATTAACAAAAATAAATAATAAAAACTCCCAACAAATAAAACCATGCCATAAAACCAAAATCAAGAAAGGAAACCCATGAGCAAAATTTAAACAAGTTACTTCTTGTTTTATTGAAGAATATATGCAGGTTTCAATGTAATTGCATAAATAGATTGTGTGTCCACCTGAAATTGAAGGGATCTAATTCTAACATTTTGTCCAGAATATGGCTGGTTTGAGCTTTCAGAGGCATAATCACACACAGAACTTTCTTAGACTGTGAGCAGACTGATGTACATAATGTGTATAAAATGATACATGTGACTCTCTTGAGAACCGTGGTCTTAGCTTGAGGAAGCCTCTAATTTTAAGAAAAGAGGAAGCTGAAAAAGTAGGTGATCTCTATACTTTTGAGAATACATAATCAGCAGAGCATGTCTCACCAAATTGTAACAAAAGTTACTGCGTAGACAAGGTATCTCAAATGGACCCGACTGTGCTGGAGAACGTAAATATTCACTCACTTGTTATGCAGTGCTTTGTGTAACTACAAAGGAAACTGAGTTGATTTGAAAGGTAGAACATTTATTGTAATTAGGAAGCTGGGCAATGGGGGGCAGGAAAGATATGTGGTAGGAAAGGTAGGTAGGTTTTTGCACTTCTTACTTGGGCTAAAAATGAACCAGAGCATAGAATGAATTATTTTGTGTAGCTTTGATTCTGGGTTTTTTTGCTATGTCTGATTGCTAATGCTGTTAATGAAGTTGTAATTGTTGGAAGATGTGGATTTAATTCCTGCCTGAAACTGCATTAGTTCGAGTGTTTGTCTGACAGCTCAAGCAGGTTGTTAAGCAGCTTCTGATGATATGCAACAGAAACATATTTGTATTTGTAGCTGACTAGAAACACTGTTAAATATATACTTGTGTGAGGTTTTCTAGTGTTCTTTCTTTCTGTTGACAAGTGTAGGCCCTTAAAAAGCGTTCTTGTTGCATAATCCTGTGAAGCCTGACAGATTTATTTTTCAATTAAGGAAAACAGCATAAACCATTCAGCTTTTCTCCAAGTGCTGTGATCTAAAAATCAGATAGGAAAACTGCTGAAGGATGCCAAAAGGTTGGCAAAGGTGAGGGAAAAGAAACAGCCAAAACACATGGCTTAGCAAAAAATAGGGTTACAGTGGTGGTATGAAGTTCACATGTACTTCCCCCCAAATATATGATTCTTTAAAATATTGACCTGCTCTTTTTTAATATTTGCCTTACTGCCTGAATAGTTTTTTTCTAGCAGATTTGTCAGACAACCAAATCCCTTGTGTGATGATCTGTTTTGAACTCCATTTTGAAGCTATAAATGGAACCATTTTACAGGACAGTTAATTATTTTGGAACTGACTCTCAAACTTCATTGTTGTAAATAAGTATATCCAACAGGTGAGGTAGTTGTAGAAAGTGATAAGCTTTCTCCTGAGCCTCCTTTTTTTCCCTAGAGTGAACAACCCCAGCTCCTCGAGCTGCTTCTTATCAGAATTTTGCTCCACACTCTTCAGCAGCTTTGCTACTCTTTGGAAATGCTCCACCACCTCATAACATAATGATGGTATTATAGACTGTTACCTATGTAAAAGCATAATTCTTACCTTTCATTATTTGTAGTTATGTTAGCTGTGATTACTGGAGCTTTACTGAATTTGTTTTGATTCAAATATTATCAGTATTTCACTGCATTGTTTTTTCAGCCTGGCCTTGGTCCTTATGCTGGTGAAACTATAAACCTGGGGGGAGATGTCCCAGTCTACTTTTGCATTTAGGATGTAGGTTTAGCCAAGTATACTTGTAAAGCAGAGGTGATCCTTGGAAGGTTTGTACCAGCCAGAGTAGACTTGGTCTGAGCAGGATTTAGTGGCAGATAAGGAATCAGCTGTGGTTTGTTTTGTATTTTTACAGTTTTTGATGAAAAAACCCTTTACAATTAATTATTATATTATTTTATCAGTTTTCTTTCAGATTACTGGTTTACTGTTCTTTTTCAGAGTCTTCCTTTTGTCATGGGCTTCATGAATGAAAGAAAGGAGCCTTTCTACAAGGTTCTTTATTCTGGTGAAGCTTCAGGACGGATCACTTTGTGGCATGTTCCCGATGTTCCTGTGTCAACGCTTGATGGTTCTCCGAAAGGTTTGGGCACTTTTGGCACCTTGCTACCATCTTTTTCATTATGTCTTGGAGTCAATTTCCATGAAAATCTAAATTCTCATAAAAAACTTATTACACTAAAAAGTGATACTCATTTAATCATTGTGTGGTGATTGCCTGTAGTTAGGAGGAATAGCAACTGCTGACTTTCCAACCCTAGACTGCAAAAAGGATAATTTAAGGGAAGTGATCAAGAGATGAAAAAGTGTGTTTGTTTAGTTTGTTTTGTATATTTTGTTTTGCATTAATAAAAAAGGCCTCTCGCCCCACTCTCTAGAGATCCCAATTACAACCGTGTGGACTCTTCAGGATAATTTTGATAAGCATCGTTCCATGTCAGAGGGCATTATTGATCAACTTTGTGGATCTGAAGATGGATTTGGAAATGCAGTTGTCAGTTCCTCTGTGTACATACCTGGTCTTGATAGGCTTGTATGCGGATGTGAAAATGGGAAAATTTTTGTAACATTAGGTTTAAAAACTGCAAGAGCAAGACTTTTAGAAAACATATCTTTTCTTAAAGGTAAGTTTTAAAAATTTGTTCAGATTCATCTCAGTCAAGCACACATGACTTCATATTTCTGGCATCCCTTCTAGTCATCCCTGTAAAAATTCTCTGAAAAGTAGGGCTGGTGGTCAGGAGTGGAATGAGGAAAATGGTAGATTGTGATGATCTTTCTCTTTCCATATCTGATCTGTTGGATCACAGCTTAGTACTACCAAGGTGCTTTCCATTAGTAGGAAAATGGGAATGGCTTGGGATTAGTTGTGCCCTAGAAGTGAGATATGTGGCATGTCACTATATTGGCAGTTTTCTTTTTTATTTGTTCTCTAAAAGATCATTCCACTGAAGGGAACATAAAGGGTACATCTCAGTAGTGAAGCTCAGAGTGTAGACCTTTGTTCTCTCTTTTAGAACAGGTCCAAAATTCTTTGATCCCATGTAAAGGTTGGTTATATTTATCCTGATTTTCAGGAAATGTGCTATAAGATATGGAACTCTTATTCTTAAAGAGCAAAAATAATTCATGTACCATCTTGTTTCAGATAATTTACCTTATAAAGTTTTGAATGGTCACAGTAGCAGAGTCACTTGCTTACTTTATCCACATGACCAATCAATGAGATTTGATCCAAGCTGGCTGTTATCAGGGGGTCAGGATTCTGTCGTGATCTGCTGGGATATATTTGCTGGAGGAATCCTACACCAGTTTAATCTGCAGTCTGGTGCAGTGACAGAGCTCTTGAGACCCCCAGAACACTACAGAGTAAGTGAAAACATAATAAATGTCTCAAACAAAAAAATAAATCTCTATATACACATCTGTGCGTGTATATATATTTATATACAAGAGAAAATAAAAAGAAAACACTGTCTGGCAATACTTTAGCCCACACCATTTTAAGATATTGTACTTTCACTTAATTTTTGTCTTTGAAAGTTCCTTTTAATTGTAGGGACATGAATTCTTGAGTTTGTGACATATTAAATTGAAGCTCTTAACATTCTATTCACCATTTTTATTATGATGATGATCAACTTATATGTCAATCTGATTAACTCCTCCTCCTGAAAATTAAAGAATGTACTCAGTAAGGCTAGGAGCTTGAACATAGTATTTTAATCTTCTCTATTGCTCTAAAATATGTATACTTCATTTTGGCCCCTGAAATATCTTTTTGGTCCTTTATGTGTATGTTTTTGCATTTTATAATCAGAACAATTTAAAGGTTTTTCCTAATTAATTGAATTTTAAAGTTAATTCTGTACATTACTGTACAGAATGTTTTATGTAACTTTTGAACCTTATATTCTCTGGGGCTGGGATTTCCATTTTTCCTCTTAGCCTGCAAACACATAATTGATACTAATGAATGACTCACAGTTCACTTACATGCCAAAATTAGGTAGTGAAAAAATGGTTTGCAATAACCAAGTTTTTAATATTTGTAGGGCTCCTTTTCATCTTAATTCTTAAAACTGAGTAGGATTTAATGCCTGTCTGGCTGCTGCTTCAGCATTGTTTAAAGAGCTGAATTGCTCTGTAGGGGAATTCCTGTGTGTCACCAAAAATTACCTGCAGGGAAGGAAGGCTTTGCAGTATCAGATCCATACAATATGAAAATAATTTCTAACTTAGTTTGTTTTATTAGAAATAAGTTACCTTTGGCTTTTGTTTTTAGACCTGACATAATTTTATATCACATGAATACCTATTTGGTTTAAGGTAATTTTTTTACTGCTTTCTCTTGTAGGACAACTGCTACTGTATAGTTGGCTATATAATCATAGCTTTGATATGCTAATACTGTGAATAAATGGCAATTAACTTATTATATTTAAATTACTGAAAAACCAAAGATGAAGGCATGTTTTCCCATCAGGAAATGAATTGTTTAGCCAGACTTCTGAAAACAAGTTGAAGATGTTGGCTGAAATAAAAAATAATTTTCTAAAATGAGTATGTTCTGGGAAAGAAACTGCTGGAATTCTGTTATTAGGCCAGTTGAAATGATGTGGTTATGAACGTAGTTACAGTGTTGAAACCTGAGTTTTCTGTTTTTGCAGTTAAGAGACCAGAGTATAGTGTGCTGTGTGTGCAGTGACCACTCAGTAGCAGTTCTACACCTTCAGAAGAGAGAGTGTCTCTTACATGCCAGAAAGCATCTGTTTCCTGTGAAGAAGATAAAATTTGACCCTCTTGAGAATGTGCTAATTGTTGGATGTGAAGACAACTCAGTTTATGTTTGGGAAATTGAAACAGGTAATAATACAAAGGGGTCATCCTATTTGTTTTTGTTTTCCTCACTTTCCTGAAGGTTTGTCCGTCATGTGGTGTTATAGGAACATAATTTTTAGAAGGTGAAAACATTAGTAGAAATACTAACACATTGATTATAGGAATTGGAGAGTTTCAATGTTTATACAAAAAAGAAATAAAGAAAATTTTCTTATGGCTCAAGGTATGGCACTAGTAAAATCGAGAATCTTAAATCTGATACTGTTACTCAGAAGTTTAGCTGATATGGCAGTGAATTGAGTAGAATACTCCTGGGAGCTGTAAATAAAAACAAAACTTATTAAAATGACTGTTTTCAGTCAAAATTGTCCCAAGTTGGAGCACAAAGCTATGCTTTCCTCCAAAAATTCATAATCTGAGATATTTTGATTTAATTGATAATTAGTTAATAGTGGAAGATAATTGTAAAGTTCACAACTGTGTAGTCAGCAAAACTAAAGCTGAGTGTTTTCAGGTTAAACTGTAGATTCCCAGGTGATTTGAGAATGTCATGCTGATTCATATGGGTAATAAATGTAGTTATTTGAGCTTGAACAGATAGAACTGTTAGAGGTTGTAATGGTATTAGACACTACAATATGAGTGTCCGGGTAATTCAGAGCTTCCTTAGAGGAAGAAGGTGCATTGAGTCCAGAACCACTGAAATGCACAACATGTTAAAACTGCAGTAAAATTGGATTTTAATAACTGAGCACTGAGTTCACAATTTATTTAACAGGTTATTCCAACACACTAACTACATGGTTTGCTTTAGACAAACACGAAAAATCAGAGTATATTTGAATTGTCCCTCCTTCACTCATAAAACCATTGCCGATTTCAAGATTAAAGAGAAAGTAAAATTGATACCACTGCTCATGCATATTACATACTCAGGGTGCAGATTGCTAAAAGTGTCATTTGTTACAAGTATGAGGGAAGAATGAGTGCCACAATCACCACCTCTTTAAGAGTAGCTGGTACACAGGAAAAGATGCTGTTATTTGCTATACAGTAGCAATTAACAAATCTTTTGTTGTTGTTCCTGTTATGCATTGCTGACTAAAAGGTGCCATCTAGGGTCAATACCTGAGAAAGCCTAGTAGGATATACTGTAGTTGCTTTAATGTTGAATTACATCTGTATTGCAGCAGAACACAAGAGGTCATGGCGTTGATCCTTGAAATTGGCCTGACCTAGATCAAGAGCTATGTAGATACTTCAGTGGCACTCAGGCAGACAAAGCGTTGTTCAGATGTGTGACAGAGATGTACACAGCATCACTGAGGCACCTCTGCAGGAAGGTGCCTCTGAAAGGAATCCCTTCATCAGGATTTCATCTGTTGGCAAATGAATGGGCAACCACACATAGTACCACTTGCCTACAGTTACCTCTGCACATATTCCCTAACTCAGTTAAATAGGATAAAATCTGAGTGGTAGCCTTGTGCTTGAATTCCATTGTGGAAAGGGACATGAGATAGCTTTTATTGCTTCTACAGTCAAAAAGTGTTTCTATTTCTTCTGGCTATGCAGTTAGCATCATGACTTGGGCTTTGCATGTAAGTTAAAGTCAGTGGAATATTGTGTCAGACTCATATGTCTCTGTTTGCAGTTAACAAAATAAATCTGAACAGTGTTCCTGTGCAAAAGGTAATGGATGGCTGGGAAAACAGCTGGTCTGTTTACAATTTCAGGCTGTGGATTAAGAAATTTCTATGAATAGTTCAATATCTACACTGTTGTAGAGTCACCAATAATTCTGTTGAGTTTTTCAGGTCACTTTAGAAAAGTTGAGACCTAGTACCACTGAGTCTAGAATGGTTCTTCCATCAGGTAATAATAGGGTGACCCTTAAAGATGGAAGATTTCATTGTGCATAACAGTTCATTGTCCAGTTTCCTGTGACAGAGGTTGACACACTTGTACAGAAAGCATTCCAAAGAATCTAAAAATGTTTGTCTCAACAGACTTTCATAATCATCACTTTATGAGGCAGAAGAAACTTTGTGTCCTAGATTAAACTCTAGTGCTATTTTGTGTACAACTTGTATTCTCTTTTCATGAGGTTTACAAAGATAACCTTATTTTACATCATGACTGGGGAGTTTTCTGTGTACAATAGTCTGCATGTATTCTAAATAATTAGGATTTCAGCATAGTTTATGCTGAAATGTTAAATAGGAGTATAGTTGACTTCAAGTGTCATTTTAGTCTGTATCTCTTGCCTACTGAATAGAAGACAAGTCTAAAGAAGGTGGAGGAAGAAAAGGCAAAAGGTGTTTCTCTTACAGGTCTAGAATAGGAGAAATTTAATTATACTCTTTTATTCCCTTGATTTACAGAGCAAAGTAAAATTATTCTAAGTTAAAATGTTGATATTGCACCTGCATGTGGGTTGTGATATAGAAAACAATACAGAGACCATGAAATAATATCTGTGTGGTTTAATGTATTTTACCTAAATTTTAATATATGTATACAGCAACTTTCCATTACAGTGGAATATCTTTCCATGACAATGAATATTGATCTAATCATACATTTGGAATATTAATATAGTATGTGTACAGGATATGCTCCAAACTTGTGTGCTAGAAGACAAATATAAAAATCAATAACAAATTTTATTCTAATTAAAGTGTAGAATCTTTCTTCCAATAGCCGCCACTTGAAATCCCCTTCAGTAAGGAAATTAGCTGTTATCTGTATTGTTTCTACATTTTCCTAACCAGTTGGTATCTTTGCTTTTTTAGAAAAGTGAATGTCATTACAATGAGATATACTAAAAAAAGGATCAAAGGATTTTTGTGTTCTGTGTACAGGATATGACAATGTGTCTACCAAGCTACCTTTAGATCCATCTTGTATTAGCAGAGAGGAATGAATGGGTGGACATTAAATAGCAATCTTCCTTGCTCAGAGTTAACAGTCTTCATCTATCTATGATGAATTGTTTTTCACTTAGTAAAAGTTTAAAGTTAATTTATTCCTTGAAGTTCATAATACTTGCAGAATGAATCATTTTCAAATTACCTGTTATTTTCTTTTGCCTTGCAAACATAGCTCTGTTTTGATTTATTGTTAATGATATGTTTAGTTTGGGTTTAAAGATAGAATAACTTCACTTAATAAAACTTCAATTTATTGTTCAGTTATCATAGTGTTAGCTTTACACTGGCTATATTGTGATTTTTTCATACTCCCCCAGGAAGTTCAAATTTTCATAACTGTCTTACATGTTTCTAGCTCCAACAGGAAAATAAAATTCTAATATATGCCTAAAAAGTGTTTTTGAGGTCAGATCTCCTGAACAGCCAAAACTAACTGCTTACAATCCTTTCCAGGGAAGGTCAAAAATTATCAGTAAATAATAGACAGTAACTAAATACATATACAGTATTTTGTTTTATCCACACTGCTTGTGCATTGCTTTTCCTATTTGTGGTCTACTTGAATCCTCTGAATAGAATACTTTTTCTTGTATTTTGATGTGCTTATTATCACAGTATCAGAGTGCTTAGTAACAATAGTCCTGCCATTTTCTTTTTAAGTGCGGAACCATACAGTTGTCTTTGCTTCTAACAAACCAGAAATCCTAAGAATGGCAGTGTTTTTTACAGAATTATTCTGAGAACAGTCTAGGTGGTATGTAATTTTAAACCCCCCATGTTCTGATGTACTGCATATACCAGAGATGTACATAGCAGTATCTGCTACCTCATTTCAGAGGTTTTCTTTGCTAAGTGATGACTTGCCACTTCCATTCACTGTAATGAGACTGACTCTGTCACGGAGTGGAATGGTCCATATGGAGCTCTCTTGCTGGAGGAAGCAGGAAAAGCAGCAGTGCTTTAAGCCAGGCTGTCGCTGTGGTGGGAAAAAGGCGTCAGCTTGGACGTTCAGTTCACAGATGGTGATTGTTCCACTTTGAGTCCATACTTAAAGGCATGAAGTTTTTTCTGAAACACTTGTGTTTCATGGCTTTAACAAGGATGATAAATGACTTAAGACACTTCTGTTGAGAAAGAAAAAAAAATTGCACCACTTTAAGATAGCTGTCAAGCATAGAAAATTTTACCTCAAGCATTTAAAAGCTGTACAGGTATCAATAAAATAAACCAGCCTTTAAATGAGTTTGTCAGCCCTAATAAGATATACAGTGTCTAACACTAGTCAAATCCATCAGTATGATCATAAGAAACTTTACGAAAAATAGAGAAGAGTTCAGAAATACTCTGAAAGTAATTCCAGTTAACGCCACAGCAATGTATTTAAGTGTAGCATGAAACCTCTGCTGTTTCATAAGCACACCTGCCATGGAGGAAATGAAATGACTCTGCAGATAGTGACGTTATGGATCAAACCTTTGATCATATTGATGATCAAACATGCTGGAAGGTTTTCAAATACTGTTTAAAGATAATTTTATGTAGTTATATATGCTCCAATATTTTTAAAATTGGTACCAACAATGAGACTTCTAAACCAGTAGTAAACAGCAAGTATCACATGAGTGGAAGAATTTGAAGGGTGAGGTTTGGGTTGTTTGGTTGCCTTTTTTTTCCAAAGTAGATATTTATTTAGTATGTCTGACAACTTTTCTCATCCCATACAGAAATTAGGGATTAAACTTTAGAAAGTTAAGGCTTAAACTTCAGGTGTCTGTGAGAAAATAAGTTGTATAGTTGCATTAAAATTTAGAACTCTATCAAAGTAAAGTTGGTCATTACTAAGATTTTTGCCTAGATAATTGTAGAACCAAGACTAATTATAATACACTTCTGCGACCTTTTTGTCTTTGTAAAATTTAGAGATTTACAATCTCTTTTGGTATATTTTTCATTTTCCCTGTCTCTCCATTATTCTCTTTTTCTCTTCAGGTCATTGGTCAGAATTAGATCTGAGTGGGTGAATGTGGCCTAACTGATAAATCCTGTGGTTATGTTTCATCTGCTGGAGGCCATGGTTTAGGGTCAAAGTCA